TTGCTTTTAATGTTTCTGTTGAGAAGTCTGCTGTGATTTTGATGGGTTTACCTTTGTATGTTATTTGTTTTTTCTCCCTTACAGCCTTCAATATTCTTTCTCTAGTTTCTGTACTTGTTGTTTTAATGATAATATGTCATGAGGTAGTTCTATTTTGGTCAGGTCTATTCAGTGTTCTGGAGGCTTCTTGTACCTGAATGGGCATAGTTTTCTCTAGATTTTGGAAGTTTTCTGTTATTATTTTGTTGAATATGTTATGCATTCGTTTTGCTTGCACCTCTTCTCCTTCTTCAATGTCCATGATTCTCAGGTTTGGTCTTTTGATGGAGTCAGTGAGTTCTTGCATTTTCTTTTCACAGGCCTTGAGTTGTTTAACTAATAGTTCTTCTTTTAATTGCCATTTCATCTTCAAGTTCTGATATTCTGTCTTCTGTTTGTTCTATTCTGCTGGAATGGCCTTCCATTTTGTTTTGTATTTCTGTTTCATTCTTTTTTCCTAGGTTTTCCATATCATGGGTTACTTCCTCTTTAATATTGTCAATTTTTGACCTTAATTCATTTATCTCTCTGTTTGTGGTGGTCTCATTTTCAGTTTGGCATTTATTTAGCACTTCTATGATTTCATTTATTTGTTTTTGTGTTTTCTCATATTCTTTATTTTTGTCCTCTTGGAATTTCTTGAGTGCCACCTGTACATTTTGGTTAACCATGTCTAGTAACATCTCTATGAAATTCTCATTAATTACTTGTAGGATTTCTTCTTTCAGTGTGTTCTTGTGGGCTTCATTGTGTTCCTTGGTATAGTTTATCTTTGTTTTTTTGGAGTCTGGATCTGGGTATCCATATTCTTCATTTTGCTCTAAATCCTGTAGTCCTTTATTTTTTGGGGGGGAATGGTTTACTTCCCTTTTTCTTCTTCCCATATTTCCACTGGGTAATGTTTGAACTATGTGTAATTTAGTATTAGCTGGGTAACAATATTAATACTAACAAAGCCAAGAGAGAAGGATAAAAAAGAGAGAGAGATGGAAAGATAAAAGGAATGGAGTAGTGAGGAAAAGAGAAAAAAAGGTAGAGGTGGTGGATGGTCAAACAGTAAAACAGGCAGCAAATCCCTTAAAGAAGGGAAAAAAATTAAAATTAAAATTAAAACAAAACAAAACAAAACAAAACAAATCACCAGTTCTGCAACAGTAGAATTGCAGTTTTAGTTGTTCTGATGCTAGTTCTTTAGCATGCAGACCTGTCTGTGTGTGTCTCTTAGGTAGGTTTTGAGCCTTCCTGTGGCAAGTGGATGGTGGGTGGGGTCCCACAGGCCTTTGGGTGGAAGCCTTTAGCTGAGGTGAAGTAGGGGGCCTTTGGAGCATGGGCTTGGCATGCCTGAAGGGTGCAGGCTGGCAGGAGTGGAGATCCTGTGTCTATGGATCGCTGGCTTGACAGGCTTGGTGGGCACAGTCCAGCAGAATGGAGATCGTGGGTGTGTGGGTCCCGGCTTGGCAGGCCTTAGGGGCACAGGCTTGCAAGTGAATATTGTACAGGGCTGTGTAGACCTTGGGGGCATGGCCTAGCAGTACTAAGATTGTGTGGGTTTGTATCTCCAGCAAGGAAGGCCTTGGGGGCATGTACCGGCAGAGCAGAGATCTTGCAGGGCTATGCAAGCCATAGGGGTGTGGCTGGCAAAGCAGAGATGTGCAGGGCTGGGGGCACAGCCCAGTGAAAGGGAGCTCCTGCAGGGCTGTGCAGGTCTTGGGTGCATGGCCTGGCAGAGATCGTGCAGGGCTGTGCAGGCTTGGGGGGGATGTGGCCTGGTGGAGATTGTAAATGTCTGTGGATCCCTGGCTTTAAGGGCTCATCCCACAGAGATCCTTCTGTTCTGAGGGGTGGGGGTTTGGGGTAGCATAGCCCTGGGGGCCAAAGGAGTAGGCCCAGAGGATCTTAGATCCCACAGTATATGGAGCAGCGGCTCCACGAGCCTATGGGTTGGCACCTGCTATTCTTTTAGTGTATCGTGGCGTGGAGAGGCCTCCCATGAGCTAGGGGTTCAGAGTGCTGATATTTCAGCTCTCCCTGGTGCTTTACCTCTGTCAAGCATGTCTCCAGCTTCTTATCAAAGTCCCTGGATCATGGAGGTTAGAAGGTCTGTGGCTGTGTTCCGGCCGCCATCTTCCAAGGTCTTCTATTCTTCTATTCTTTAAGTAAGATGGTGAATTAACTTGGCAGGGCCACCATTACAAAATAGTACACACTTGGTGGCTTAAACAATAAAAATTTACTTTTCCACAGTTCTGGAGATAGGCTTGCCCCACATTTTGCAGGTAGCCACTCTCTCACTGTGTCCTTTAATGGCCGTTTCACTGTACATGTACACCCCTAATGTCTCGCTTCTCTTCCTATAAGGACCCCAGTCAGATTAGATTAAGGATCACATTTATGACCTTATTTAAGTGTCTAATTCCAAATATCACACAGGAGTTAAGGCTTCAACATGGGAATTTTATAGGAAGATAATTCAGTCCATAGCAAGTTTCTTGGTTGTACTGCACAGGGATGCTATGTGCTTACTGGTTTTTTGTATACTTGCTCTATCAATCAATAAAAGTCCTGAAATCTCTGGCTGCAATTGTGGACTTCATTCTACTTGCAATTCTGTCCATTTTTGCTTCAAATATTTGAATATGTGTATTGAGGTCTTAAATTATTTAAGAATACATTCATGATTAGTTGATCCCTTATCATTATGAAATGACCATTTCTTTTTCTGATAAAACTCTTTGCTCTGAAATCTAACTTGTTGATATTTATATATTCAGTCAAGCTTTCTTTTGATTGGTGTCCTCTTTTTTCATCCTCTTATTTTTAACCATTAGACTTTTTATTTAAATTATGCTTCTTATAGGCATTATATGGCTAGTTCTTGCTTTTTTAAATTCTAATTTAATGGTCTCTGCATTTTGTTTGGGATGTTTAGAACCTTACATTTATAGTGATTATTGATGTTCATAGGTGTAAATCTTCATCTTAGTATTTGTGTTCTATTTGTCCCACCTATTCTTTGCTCTCTTTCCTCTTTTTCAGCCTTCCTTCAGATTGAATAATGTATATTTTCATTTTATCTTTTTGTTGTCTTATTAGTTGTAACTCTTTTTTATTAAAAAAAATGCTTTTTGGCAGTATGGGGTTTGAACTCAGGACCTTGTGCTTGCTAGGAAAACACTCTACCATTTGTGCCATGCCTCCAGCCCCACTATGTTATTTTAGCTGCCACTTTGGGAGTTTATAGTATGCATTTTTAACTTATCACCATCTGCTTTCTAGTAAAAATAAACTTCACATATAATTCACATGTAAGTACCTTATACTTGTATACCTTCCTTCCTTCCCTCCTGGACATCGGGCTATTTTCGTCATATATCATTCTTTTACATGTTGTGTATGTAACAAAATTGTTTTTATTTTTTAAACAGTAAATTATCTTTTACAGAGACTGGAATAGCAAAAAAATATTGTGTATAAGTTCACAGTCACTATTCTGTGCTTTTAATTCCTTTGTGTATATCCATATTCCCATCTTATGTCATTTTTTTCTTCTATATGAGAGGTGTCTTGTACTGTGAGTCTGCTGGTACTGATTTTTTACAGACTTTTTTATTTCAAAAAAAAGATTTTGCCTTTTTTAAAAGATATTTGCAGTTATTGAATTCTATATAACAATTTTTTCTTTCCATATTTGAAGATATCACTCCATTGTCTCACTTGCATTCTTTCCAGTGAGAAATCTCTCACAATCCTTATCTTCATCATTCTAAACATATCTGTCTTTCTGTCCCTTTTAAATATTTTCTTTTATACTTGATTGAAGAAACTTGATTATGAGTGGCATATTTCTCTTCTTGTTTGTTGTGCTTAGGTTTCTTTGAGTTTTTGTATGTGTGGAGTTAGAAGTTTTCTGTATTTGTAAATTTGGGGGCCATTATTTCTTTTTTTTATGTGCAACAAATGGAACATCTTTATTTACAAGTACAAAATTAGTTAGCAAAGACAGTCATTGCCCACCCTTTTAGAGACACTAATCACTTCTTTGAGAAACTGATGAATTTTTTTGGCAGTACTGGGGTTTGAACTCAGGGCCTCACACTTGCTAAGCAGGTGCTCTACCACTTCAGCCACTCCATCATCCCCCATTATTTCTTAAAATATTTTTTCTGCTTACCCATCCCCTTGTCTACCTCAGACACACCAAGTACATGAGAAGCTTCCCACAGCACATTATTTTCTTTTTATTTTGTATAGTTTTTACTGCTGCATGTTTAAGTTCATTGTCTTTTATCTTTAAATGAATGACTTTGCATCTTATATATTGTAGTGTTCATTTCTAGAAAATTGGTCTCTTTTGTCTCCTCCGTGTCTTAACATGATTTTGAACATGTGCTTCTCAACTATTTATGGTCTTTAATGATTCTAACATGTATTCAAGTTCTAAATTGGTTTCAAATGACTAATTCTTCTCCGCATTGTGGGTAATATTTTCCTGTGAATTTCACTTTGTTAGGTGCTGGATTTTTTCCCTAAAATATTTTTAAGTTTTATTCTGGAGTATAGTTAACTACTTGAAACTGCTTGGGTTTTCTGAGTTTGGTTTTTAAGATTTATTAGGTGGGACCAGAGCTGTGTTTAGAGCCCACTATTTCCCACTATTGAGGTTAGACTTAATGACCCATAAATTATGAGGTGTAACTCAAGGCCATAGGGACCAAATTAATTTTGGTATTAACAAAAGGTAAAACTATTTAGTATGTAAATCAACAACAATAACCATACCATGTATCACAGAGACACGATTTTGGAATTTTATATGTTTGAATCATCCACAGCACTACTTTAACCACGTGCTCAGAATATGAGACTGGATGTCCTCAAATAGATAATTATATTTATAAGCCCACCTCCATCTTCTTCACAAGTTTCAAAAATAATAAATATCAGAGTCCTTTCTCTCTCAGGTCCTCATGTGCGATATATTCCCAAACCTGACAACAAGCCCTGCTCTATCACTGACTCTGTCAAACGGTTCCCAACCGAGGAAGCCACAGAGGGGAATGCCACCAGCCCACCACAGAACCCACCCACCAACCTCACTGTGGTCACGGTGGAAGGGTGCCCCTCATTTGTCATCTTGGACTGGGAGAAGCCACTAAATGACACTGTCACAGGTAAGATCATTGTATTAGTGCTTATTACTCCAGTTTGGATAAATGTATGTCTCTGGGATTGGGCCCCTGGGTCAAACTGTGACACATGGAGCATATCTGAGGAGAAGCAAGTCCTAGCAGAATTCTACTATCCATATGGCACATTGTCAAAGTGTCATGGGATGGGAAAAATCATCTTTGTCTTCGTTATGGGTTCCCTCTTAACTTAGAAGATCTCTTCAAGGAAAGGAATTCCAGGAGAATTCCTTTCATCTCTCAGAATTCCTTTTCACAGATTAAAGATAGAGCTAGTCTTCTCATTGCTAAGGAAATTACATGAGTAGTAGCCACTGCTAATGATATTTAAACTACTTTTCCTTTCATTTACCCAACTTCTACATTGACGTAGAATTTTTAAGCAGGCTAAAAGTTATTTCAATTATCTTCAGAGAAATTGTGGGGAAAATGCTGCATTCCTGAGCAATTTTCTGCTCATCACAGTAAGTTTTGATTATACCACCATCAACCCAGGTCTTCTAAAAAATTAGTGTGGAAAATAAGAAACTCTGCATCTTTGAATTTGTTATATGGCAGTTTGATTCTGCCTCATGAACGGGAGGGTCAAACAAGAGAATGGAAAGAGAAATAAAAGAGTAACAACCTAAACCAGCTAGAGGTAAAAATCAAACAGCCTGAGTCCATGAGGTTCCTACTTCCAGCTCCTTCCTACTGTGTCTTGGTGCAGGGAACAGAATGGTAGACAAGGAAGCTGTTAGGGGTAGGCAGGGGTGCCCAGGATGAGGTAGAGTGGAGAAAGTCAAGAACTGCCAGAAACATTCTCTACTGAGAGTGAATAAAGGGGATAACAGCAGTTAATTCTTCTTAGACAAAACCATGTGAACTGGGCAACTTCTAATATAAGCAGTTTATCTGTGCTGAATTGACTGTATTATATTTTGTGAATTTCCCTTTCTCATGCAATCTAGCCTTTATTCTGAGGGAAAAAAACAAAACAAAACAAAGCAATCACTACCTGTGTTCCTAGGGATCTGCCTAGTCCTGCTTCTTGAGACTCTGCTAGTAGATGCTACTATCTCGATATCTAAAAAGTCAATCGATCTCTCAGTATTGATTATCTATAATGTATTAAAACATCAAAAACTCTTGATCTATATACTTTGCAAATATGGAGTTCTTGTGATAGTTTGATGTTTAGTTTCCTTAAAGCCAAGTAATCAATAAAATTTTATTTGCCCTAAAGATGTGGGATATCAAAATGGAATTAATCTAATATATCTAATCATCTAATACATATCCACTAGGGTAATAGCTGATTTAACTTTTTAAAGATGTAAGATTTACCTTTCTAAGTCATCTATAATAATTTTTAAAAGTTACTTAATTTTGTAATCTCAAAGAATCATTAGGGGAGTATACTTTATACATCTAACCATCTGCTTTTATAACATTCTTCCTGTATGTTAGTACACTGCTTGGGCTCTTTCATGAGACATAGGACTAATTACAACAATTTTCATAGACAAGGACCATATCTCTTTAGCTATAATAGTTCCTAAATGGAAATAAGGCCATATTTAGCCATTGTTCTTCTAGCCCATATTTAAACATTAATTTGTACTAGTAAACATTAATTTGCTTACTTTTAGTGTTACATTAAATTTTGATTTAATGTAAATCAAATTTACATTGATTTCAAAAGTGATTATTAATAAGCAATAGCTCATATAATGTAATACAGAAATTAATTCTTATATCACAAGAACTGGTTTGCTAATAAGGGATTGAGAAAAATAACAAAAAGAGTGAACCATGGCCCTCATTTCCAGAGGTGACTTTTGTCTTTTGGTTGTCAGGCACATATTCCCTTCCAGCAAATGCCTCCAAATTCAGTAGTTACTATGCTCAAGTAGAAGCAGATACATTAAAAACTTTTGCCATAGCTTAGCTCTTTAGACAGCTTAAAGTTGGGTTGTTGCAGTGTGATATTTCAAAACCATGTTGACACAGATTTAAATTCCAGACTAGCTACTTTCTAGACAAGCAACTCGGATTTGTAATTTTCCTCTGTGAGCCTTCATTTCCTTATCTGTAATAACTATTATTTCCCATTGTTATCAATTTATCCTGGGGAAAAAGTTAAGCAGGGAATTTGAATATGCAACCTAACTATTAATGAACTACAGAAATAATCCCTGAAAGTATAGTTTTGCAACATAACTATTAAAATGTCTGTCAGTACAGCCATTGTAGGAGTTTTATGTTGGTGGGTTTATGGAAAAACATGTCACTTTAAAGCATTAAAAATTACAGATAAATTTACAAAGCACAAGACAAACACATATTTAAAACTATAATTCTGAGAGAAATTCTAAATATTTGTACTTATGAAGGAAGTGTCTACATTCATTTTGAATAATCTGATCTCTCAGGGGAAGTATTATTAAATTAACCTTTAAAACCTGAATCAAATTAAAATTTGTGAAGATGTACACTATAAGTTTCCAGTATTAAAAGTCTAGGTTGATGGTAAAAAGGATACCACACAGTTGATAAGAAATATCTCAAGCCCAAGATGTTTTTGAAGGTCGTTGCTTTGATGTATGACTAACTAGTTTCAGACAAGTTGTTCTTTTGGTGACTAAGCAGCACTTGAATCTTTACAATAAGAATAGAAAAGATTGACAGATAGGTTAGGATCAAAAGGGAGTCCGAATGATACAGATAGTTCTCATTCATTCATTCTTGCTGTACTGATGTCCAGATACAGTTGGCATTGTCTTCCAGTTTGACTTTGGAGTTTTGAAAGGGTGGTCATACAAAATTGTTCAGAAAAGGTCATCCTCCTTTTTTTTTTTTTTAAATTAACCATTAAAAATCATCCCTGTGACTGAGAGTGATGGCTCTCACCTATAATCCTAGCAACTTGTGAGGCAAAGATCAGGAGGATCACAGTTTGAGGCAAGACTGGACAAAAAGTTTACCTGTTCCCCAATGGCTGGATGTGGTGGCAGCCACCTGTCATTCTAGCTATTCTGGAAAGCACAAACAGGAGGACCATGGTCCAGGCCAGCCTAAACATAAGCGATAGAGGCTCAAGTGATAGAGTGCCTGCCTAGCAAGCATGAGGCCCAAAAACCCCAGTACCACCAAAAAAAAAAACCCTAACAAACAAAGAGAAATCATCCCCAAGTTAAAATTGGATATTTTAGGTCTATCTGAGCTGTTCTAGTTTTGGTTTTACTTTAATATTCAGCTTATACCTTTGGTCTCAGTACAATAGCAGCATCTGCGTCTCTTTTGCAGCCTTCCCATCTTATCCAATGCCTGGCTTTTGTGTATTTCTTCATGTCAATGGAGCTAATTTTGAGTGCAGTGGTGGTGGTGGTGTTTGTTGTTTTTTTGTCCTCTCTATTATCTTGTCACATAAATCTCAACTGAGAGCAGGGTAAACTAATTTACAAACCTATACATTATATTCTTTTATTCTAAAAGCCTTTTTCTTTTGATGGGCCCTGTGAGTTCATAGTAACATGCCTTTAAGTGAAATTTATGCAGACCTCTATGAAGACTTTAAGGACACAATTTTTATTTAGCACAAAGAAAATTATCAAGAGAGCAAAACTTATGTAAGCAGTAGATACAGAATCCTCCTAAGTCCATCATTCCAAACAATGAAATATAGGAAAGTTTATTATGTGGTTTAAGCTCAAAATAAGTTTTTGCAGCAGTACTATGTGCTCAGTGGCCTTTTCCCCAACTATTGTAAAGCCCCACAGAATAGGAAACACAGCGTTTACTCAAGCACTGCCCCCTACAGTGCTTTCCCCAAACTGTACTTCTCATCCATGACAGATTCTCTGACTTACCTAAAAAATACCATAGGAAATACACTCAAAGCAATGACAGGAGGATCATTGTTCTTCACCAGGTACTAGGCCTTCCTCTGCTCGGGTCAAGGGAAAGGAGAAATAGTCAATAGGCAACTCCCCCAAATACTGTTGGGACCTATATCATCTGGTGACTTTCCTCTGCTAGAAATCACTAATATGTAAGATCAACATGTCTCTAAAACTGCAGCTTCACTTGCTCACTTTTATGCAAGTGGCTTTAGTATGTTGGCATCAAGAACAATTAAATTATCTGGGACATGAAGACAAATATCTGTTATTTTGTTTTTCCACTTTTCAGAATATGAAGTTATATCCAGAGAAAATGGGTCATTCAGTGGGAAGAATAAGTCCATTCAAATTACAAATCAAACCTTTTCCACAGTGGAAAATCTGAAACCAGACACAAGGTAAGCCCCAATGTTATTCCAGGTGAATTCTGAGAGTGCAAAATGACAAAGTATTGGCATTCTCTGTCTTAAAGGAGGATCTAACTTTGGTTTTATTCTTGCTTTTTGTAGCACAACACTAGAAACCTCTGGAGTCATGTTAAGAAAATATGAAATTTATTGGAGAGAGGAAGGCCAATAAGATGGTCTTATAAGTTAACAGGATAGCTGGCAATATAAAAAAAATTAGAGAAGTCCATTGATATCAAATGTAGATTTGAAACGCCAAAATTTAAAGGAGAAGTGTACATGAAGTAAACTAAGTTTGAAGCAACCAAAAATTCAACTGTCATACCAGTAAGGGGAGGGCAAAGAACTGGAAACCATCAAGTAAAATAAAGGTGAAAGTTTTTAATAGTTAATACTTAAAATGACCACATGCTAGTCCCAGATATATCATTCCTTTGTTTGGGGGACTTTTTATCATTGATAAAAGAGAGTAAAGTTTTAAGAATGGAGCTGCACTTTTTTACCTTGTTCTATAAGAAACAACTTAAATAAGTGTCCCTTATTGTATATCAATACCAGGCTAGTCATATTACTGTATGATTTTGTGGTTTCTTTTCATATCTAAAATACCTAACATTTTATTATTACTGAAGGAAAAATAAGGCTCTTAGCTATTTCTGATAATGTAGTGGGGAAGTTCCTAAAAGAGGTTTCCTTTTTTCATAAGTTTTCCTTCTTATACCTCGGATTGTTATTTATTGACTGAATTAAGTTGGTATTGACAGTAACACTTTAAAGAGCCTATTTTGGCTCAGGCAGTAAAGAGATTTTTCCAATCTTTTTAGAGGGAAAAGAAGTATCTGATTCATTATACATGTTTTGCTGTGCATAAACTTTAATCCTCTACTGCAAAAATAATATTTCTTTCACAAATGTGGTTCTTGAAAGTTCCCTATTTTGGGCTATAACATGGAAAGTTTTGCAACTGTTAATTTTCTTTAAAAATTTAAGTTAGCCAAAATAAACATATATTTCAGTAAAAGCCCACTTGATATTGATCCCGTTTCCTTAGCAAGAATGTGTGTGTGTGTGTGTGCGCGCGCGCGTGAGAGAGAGAGAAGAGAGAGAGAGAAAGACTGTTTTTACCATAAAATTTTAAGAAAAGAGTAAACATAAAACCATTTAATTTTTGAATAGGTAAATTTGTGCTTGTAAAACTGGGATGGTTATTCTCTTCAGTCTCCTGATTTTTATTCCACTTAATAAAAGTGACCTGAATAGTATATTCACTGAAAGGCATCCAGTTTGTAAATGTGCATTGCGTTCCTTTTCTGAATCAGTCTGTCCTCAAAACTTCTCACTGTGCACCTATTAGCTCATGATCAAAATGTAGAACAGTTATTCCAGTGATGGTTTAAGCCCAGTGTGTTTGTGAAAGGTTTATGTTTCCATTTAGCAAACATTTATTAAGTGCTAGAGATGTGCTTAGCCGCATGCTTGGTCTTGTGGCTACAACCATGAACAAACATGGTGCCTGCTCTTGAGATCACGACAAGGGAGAAGCTGTTAATAACCAAGCATTCTGCACAACGTTGCAAGAACACTGGCAGAAATATGCCAAGCACTGTGACGGCCTAGAGTGAATGGCATTCCACAAAGTCTGCGGAATTAGGAAAATTTTCCTGGAAAACGTGACACTTGAGCTGAGACGTGAACAAGTACAAAAGAACTAGCACAGTGAATATAGTGGGGAAGACAGAGTCACAGAGAACAGCCTGTGTTAGTGTACAGAAGCAAACCTTAAATTATGACTGTCAAAATTTCCCCATGAGGGTTTGGAATTCTCTATTTGAACAACTGAAAGATAGTGGCTTCTGAAAGAACTGACTAGGAGATACACATAAATAATTTATTTTAGTAGTATTTTCTGTCAGTTGTCCTGATGTGGAAAAATGTGATATCTAAAAACAGGATAATTACTGTCAAATTTTTACATACCAACATGGTTGGAATAGAGCTTTGAGTTGGAATAGTTAATGCAGAAGAATCAAGGCAGAGATTAAAGATTTATAGACTGATTTTGGTCAGAAATTCTAAATAATCACACACTATTGCAGAAACAAAATGACAGTGGATCATGTTCCCTTTTCATTCTCCAGGTGAAAGCCAACCTTCCCCTGCCTGTTTTAATGACTTAGCTAGGTTTCTATCTACTCTGCAGAAGCCCCCAAAAATCACCCACATGGAAGGGCCATCCAGCAGCTGTTTTGCCCATGAGAGAATTTGGCTCCATACCCGGTATTAGATGCTCCTGACTCGAGACTGTAGCTGCATGACTGCTCTAGGCACCTGGCCACAGCTCCAAAGGCAGCTTAGGGGCCATAACTTTCAGCCAAAGGAGGCAAAGAAGATCTCTAGCACAGGCGATCTCCATCTCTTTTCCTTAGAGAAACTCTCTGTCACTTCCCACCCCTGAAATAACAAGAAATGTAGAGATGTTGGTATCCAGCTGAATGAGTACCCTAACCCACAACCCAATATTTACTTTCCATTTATTTCTTCACCATGAAGCCTCTTCTACCCTACAGTCCCTCAAGAACACTAATCTTCTCTTTTTACACGATGTGTGGTTTTTGTTGAATGTAAAGAAAAATATTAGGAAGAGCCTCTCCTACCTGTGAGCAAACCACTTTGTCTGCAAGACCACTGATTATTTTCAGTTCTATAAATAGAGAAACTGATAATGTCTTAAATGATTAATCTTGCATGAATATTATAGGGGCAGAAAGTGTGCATTAGTTGATCTGTAAGCCTCTTCTAGCTATAATGGCCAAAGCTATGTACAGAGTCAGTAACAGAACCAGAACGGAAAACTAAAACCTAGGTCAGCCCTATTAGGGAATTGGCCCAGTAAACTGCTCTCTCTGTCTGCAGTCTGCAATCTGTTTTCAGATGAATTCGTTTTAGCACACATTTTGATAATGTATTGATGGGCCAGGTTCTTCCTGATGAACTAGTTAGCATAAGGATGGACATACATGATCCCTGCAAGCTACGATGACCCTCTAATCCCATGTCTATTTCAATTAGCCTACTTATGTCCTTACTTTACTAAAAAACTAAAGAATATGTTGTGCATGCCAGATTTACATGTGGGCCAACAATTTCCTATGGAAAATGTACTCAGTCTGGTAATTAAGATAAATCAAACTCAATCTGCTCAAGTACTCTCATCGACCTTTGTGGGCTCTAGAGGACTGAAGAATAATTCTTCCTCCAAGACTAAAACCTACCAGAGTGGTGGCGATGATTGTTTGGACGCTTGTTTATATTGTTTGATTAATAAAATGTTGGCATTAGAGATTAGCTGGAATAGATTCAGCAACTTCTTATAAACTGTAAATCTGGCTGAATGAAACAGACATAGAATAGCCATTATACCCATTTATGGTGTTTGTGTGAAATTCTGGCCTCTGCAGATTCTGTACTAACTTTCCAATATCTCTTCTCATGGGCTTTGTAGAAAGGTAAGGTGCCAGAGCATCAGGCTTTTTATGGTAAGTGTAGGCAGAAAAAGAGCAATTCCATCCTAGCTGAAGAAGAAAAAAGTTGATTGCTCAGTTTAGCAACTTTTCATCAGGCAAAAGAACAGTTCTCCAAGAGCACAGACCTTCACTGACCTAAAAAGACAGTAATTCTTCTACTTTTTTACTACATTTTCTTTGAATTCCTTAGCATCTAGGGAGGGATGGAAGAAAGTAACAGCAACACTGCAGAATTAGAACAGTTCTCCAAGAGCACTGACCTAAAAAGACAGTAATTCTTCTACTTTTTTACTACATTTTCTTTGAATTCCATAGCATCTAGGGAGGGATGGAAGAAAGTAACAGCAGCACTGCAGAATTAGAACAGTTCTCCAAGAGCACTGACCTAAAAAGACAGTAATTCTTCTACTTTTTTACTACATTTTCTTTGAATTCCTTAGCATCTAGGGAGGGATGGAAGAAAGTAACAGCAGCACTGCAGAATTAGAATTGCAGCCCAACTCCAGAATTTCTAGTCCCCCACAGAAATGGGAGACCAGGAAATGGAAGTGTCACTTAGGACTTAATGGCAGCCAGTTTATGATCCCCTGTGACTGCTGAATTCCTGTACTCTGTTCCCATTTTTTTTTTTTTGAGATAGCATCTTCGTATGTTGCCTAGGGTGGTCTCAAATTTGGGATTCTCTTGCCTTCACCTCCCGAGAGTAGCAGGTGTATGCCACCATGCAGGCTCTGTCCCTGATTTAGGTTTGTTTTGTGCTCTGAGTATCCACACAATGACTTTGCATTGTGGCAGATATTGAGGAATGTTTACTGTAATCATGCAATTCATGAGCTCACACAAACTGATTGACTGATTGTCTTTTCACCCTTCAAGTGACCCTTACTATTTTTTTTTCCCTGTATACCACTTTTCCATTTCTCTTTATCCAACAGAAAGTTCTGCCTGAATGGGGCTCAGATATTTCAAGACTATACTGGGGATAAAATCAGCTAGCCAAACAGCTCAAATCAACAACTCAACCCAACAAACAGCTACAGGATGTCCTGTTTATATAAAAAGCAGATAGCTTGAGCTTTTGTTTAAACCAAGTATTTAAACCAGTAGGCAGTATATAACTAAAAAGTTCATCAAACAATGAAAGCTAAAATTCAGCTGTATATTTTGGGCAAAAACAGAGGGAAAAGTTTATAGAAACAAAGAGTAGGGAGTGACAGAAGTGTCCGTCCCAACTAGATCTGTGGGCTAGCCTGGAGGCTTTATTCCCTCTCACTGATGAGGAAATCAGTCTAATGCTAGATTCTGCTGATGGACATTCCTTGTTGTTGATTGTTTAGTTCATGAACTACAGATCATACTTTTTGAAACACTAGGTTTTCACTTTTCAGTGAATTGATGTATTATTTCTTACGCTGATTTTCATAGGTGCTTCTCAAATTTATTGTTCTTCCCCTTTAGGAAAATGCTTTAGAACTTTCTAAACTCATCAATGAAATCTTACCTTTTTCTTCTTTTTTTCTTCCCTTACACAGCAGAGAAGAAAGATTTCCCAACTAAAATTTCTATTTTCCAATAACTCATTAGCTGTGGCCTTATTATGACCAACCAAAATGCAACTATATAATATCGAAGAATTCTACATGGAGTTCTATGGCAGTGTTTGCCAAATTCAGTAGAAGAACTTTTTTTTTAAACAAAATCCTGTAGCCATACAATACTAACAAATATTTATAATCACTTATCAGGCATCTTGCTTTTACATGCATTATCTCACTTAATCCTTACTAAAGCTTCATGGATATTTTTATACCCTTGTGAAGTTATAATTACTAATAGCAGCATCCTATTGTTATCCTCATTTTTTTTTTTTAGTAGTACTGGAGTTTGAACTCAGGGCCTCATGCTTCCTAGGCAGATGCTCTTGAACCACCCTGCCAAACCTTTTTGCCTTGATTTTTTTTTGAGATAAGGTCTCACTTTATTGCCCAAGTCAGCCTGGACCATGATCTTCCTATCTGTGCTTCCCATGTAACTGATACGACAGGTGCATGCCACTGTACCCAGCCATTGGTTGAGATGGGGGTTCCACAAACTTTTTGTCTGGCTGGGCTTGAACCATGATCCCCCTGATCTCTGCCTCCTTGAGTAACTAAGATTATTCATTTAGATATTCACTTTGATGTTCTAAGTCTAACAGATGCCTTTTAATTTTCATCAGAAATACATGGTTTTCACTATGCTTTGTCCCCCACAAAACTCATGCAAGAGTTTAGTCCCCATGGTGAGGTACTGGGAGGGTGGAAATTAATGATGGTGTTTAAAGGTAGGACCTTTGGGAAGTGCTTAGGACTAGATAAGAACATTAGGGCAGAGTCCCTATGATTGGTTCCTAGTGGCTTTATAATAGGAAGAGAGAAACATACACGCATACTCCCTATTTCTATGTGATGCTCTGTGCACCTCAGGACTCTGCCAGCAAGAAGGCCATTATAAGATGTGGCTCCTACACATGATAAAAGCGAGAGCACACAAGGGAGGGGTGAGGATAGGTAAGACACCTAAAAAACTAGCTAGCATTTGTTGCCCTTAATGCAGAGAAACTAAAGCAGATACCTTAAAGCAACTGAGGCCAATAGGAAAAGGGGACCAGGAACTAGAGAAAAGGTTAGATTAAAAAGAATTAACCTAGAAGGTAACACCCACGCACAGGAAATCAATGTGAGTCAATGCCCTGTATAGCTATCCTTATCTCAACCAGCAAAACCCCTTGTTCCTTCCTATTATTGCTTATACTCTCTCTACAACAAAATTAGAGATAAGGGCAAAATAGTTTCTGCTGGGTATTGAGGGGGGGAGCGGGAGGGGGTGGAGTGGGTGGTAAGGGAGGGGGTGGGGGCAGGGGGGAGAAATAAACCAAGCCTTGTATGCAAATATGAATAATAAAAGAAAAATGAAAAAAAAAAATCTGAGGATTTGTGCAGAAATATTTAATATCCTAAAAAAAAAAAAAAAAAAGATGTGGCTCCTAGACCATTTACCTCCAGAAGTGGCTCGGCAGTTTGAAATAGTAACCAAAAAAAAAAAAAGACTAATTTTAAAACTCAAATACTATAAAAGTAATTCCTTTCTACTCCTAAGAGTAGACATTTTTTTTATTACTTTGGCTGTTTCTTCTGTTACTTAAATCCCTATTTCTGGCCTGACCATTTCTCAAAATAGTCAAATATTCAAGTCATCTATTTGTCTTCTGTATTTGTCTTTTGTCTTTTTATGGCAACATCTGTTCTGGAATCCCTTACCATCATCTTTTGCCTGTATCAAATCCCCTAGTTTCTGAATCATGTCTTCCTTGTTTATTCCCTTTCTTCGTGGCTTCTTGAGAAAGGTATCTTGAAGAGAAGTTGTGGAAGATAATACTTTTGAGTCTTTACATATTTTTCAAAAGTCCATGTTTAACTTTGATAATATTCTTTAGCTGGATAGATTTTAGGATAAAATTATGGTAAAATGAGGACTTTTGAAGGCCAAGTTTCATTTTTTCTAATTTCCATCACTGCTGTTAAGAAGTCCAACATCATTCTGATTCTTGATCCTTTGAGTGGGACCCATTGCTTTGTTCTGAATTTTACCCATTATTTTGTTCTGAATTTTTAGGATCTTGTCTTTACTTCCTAGGACTGAAATTTCACAATTTGTGAACTTTAATTAATCCTTTTCCTTTTTCATTTTGCTAGGCAGAGTAGGTCTTTTCTATCTAGAATCTCACATCTTTCAGTGGTAGGAAACTTCTTATTCAATTTCTGGGCTAATTCTCTACCTTCCATTCCCCTGCTTTCTAAAATACCTACAGTTGGGTACTGTATTCTTGGGAATAATCCTCCAATTTGCTTATGTCCTCTCCTTTTGCATTTCTTTGGCTAGTACTCTTTGTTCTAATACTTAAAGAATGTCAACTTTATTTTCTAAGACTTCTATTTAAAGCTTTAATTACAGTATTTTTTTATTTTAAATAACTTTGTTGAACACTTTAAATAGCATCCTATGCTTCTTTCCTATGTACAATCAATATTTTCTCTGAGACAGTACTCTTAAAGCATAGTGTCGTTCATCTTGTGAGAAAATATGCTTTGGGGGAAAGATTTTACCATCATAAATATTTCTTGCTGATGTGGGCTTTAATAAGCCAAAAATTTCCTCATGTTAATTAAACTTGGTTTAAAATTATTTCTTCCAAACTTGTCAGGTATCATAAAATGCTGGCCAAAAACAAACAGAAAAAAAAAAAAAAAAGGGAAACGTGACTTTGCTACAAATGGAGCTTAAGTGTAAATAACTATAAAATAAAAAGATGTGGAGATGATTCAAGCTATAAGGTACAGGGATATAGGCCATGGTCTGGAATGAATGTGGAATGTGTTCCCACTTGAATCAAACTTCAGATGCCTGTGACTTTTTTCTTCCATTTTCAATTGACCAGTTTTGTGATCCTATGTGCATGTATGTGTGTGTGCATGTGCATGTGTTGGTTTTATTTTGTCTTGAGGCCATTAGGCCTTAAGAAGAATTTAATCTCTGGAAAATATCCCACATGAAACACTTGATGTATATATGACTTATTTAAGTGAATGACATAGGTGTTTTTATATTAGCATTTTCTTAGAATAAATAACATAATTATTCAATTTTAAACTTCATTTGCATTCACTCATTAAATCTATAAGGAAAGGTAAGTTTTGATCCCCATATTAAAGTTTGGAAAAGCAAAGACAATTATAGTACAATAGTTATGAGTCACATTTTTCACAGTTGAAAATTAGAATATCTCTTGGGGTTGTGTTTTGTACTATTTTATGTATGCAGAATGATTAATGCATCTGACACATAATACACACTTTAAAAAGGTTGTCATTATTATGACACTGCAATCTACCATTTTGTACTAGATCTTAGCAGTTTGAATGCAGTGCCTCAGTGACCAAGAAACTGACTCCTTGAACCATCCTCCCAAAGTTCTTTCTTTTGGGGTACCATCTGTATCAAACTGAGAACTTTCATCCCTTTGTTTTTCACTTGCTTATAAAACATGTGTTCTGCATTCTTCTTTTACTGTAAACTTCTTAAAGATGTAAATTATTTGTTTTCTTCTGAAAACCTTGTACAAATCTGCGACTCACAGTATTATCAGAGAACTCAGGTTAGTTTTAAATTCAGTTATTTTGCTGCTAAGTCTGCTGCTGAAAGAAACACAATTTTGAGCAAATGGCAAATTGTTTTACTATTTGAGTTTCTTAAAAATATTTACTTTTATGTCTCATAATAAAATTTGTCAATTGCACAATAATTTAATAAATAATTCCTAAGAATAGAATCAAAGTTACTTATAATTCCAAAGGATCTGGGTTTTGTTTGTTTTTTTGTTTTAAATAAAGGGTTAAGGGTCTGGCTAGCATGAATGTCATTTGCTGAGAGAGAAAAGTCTGTCTATGTTCTTGTGCTCTTAGTGCACTATCAAACACTGTGGCTTCCTGGGATCCACAGCAGACTTGAGTTCCAGGATATACAACCAGCTTTTTTCATGTGTATTTATTCCCATAGCTAGTCTAGTTCTTCTCAAATACCAGTGGGCATGTGACTCACCTTAAGAACTTGCAAATTCCCATCTGAATTTCTTCAGATTCAGTAGCAGGAGTGGAACCAAAAAAATCTGTATCTTAGACCCTTTCTCCACTGCCACCTTATCCTGAATTTCTATAGGTAGTCCAAGTACCATACTGAGGAATATTGCCTAAGTTCAAGGCTATATTCAGGGTTGGGATAATAGGAAATACAAAAGAACTTTTCCAGTTGGTATTTAAAGGAAAGGAAGGTTCCTTGCTATTGAAATTAGCTTTTCTATATGTCCTTAAACCTGCCCAGTTATTTCTACTAATTTGGTTTTAAAAGACAACCATCTCTTTTAACTTAATCTTTTTCTCATACAAAACATTAGACAAGATGTTTAGAAAGTAAAACATGCTTCCAGAATATATGTTGCCCATTCACCATCACCATGATTCCAAATCAAATCAGGAGGGATGTCAGTGTAACAAGGAAATATTGTTGCTTCCCACTCCTTAAGAATATATTACAATTACTTTTATTTCTTCCTATGCAGCTATGAATTCCAGGTGAAACCCAAAAACCCACTTGGTGAGGGCCCAGTCAGCAATACAGTGGCATTCAGTACTGAATCAGGTAAGTACATCAATAGGAACTCCCAACAGGAATGTGCAGTGACATAGTAACGGAGCAATGTTTGTCAGGGACCTTGTATGCAACCTCGCTAAACATTGTGTACTCGAGTCTCTTGAATTCCTTTTTTAAAAAAAAGGCACTCTTTTTGGCAACACCACTTATACTATTCTTCATGTATCTTGATGTAAGAAAAAAAAGCATGTCAGATAAAAAGAAAAAGTTGTATTTAAAATTCTAATGAATGAACTTTATGTCCAGAATTAAAATATCACTGAGTACATCAACAAAGAGAATTCATGAAGGTCTTGTGAAATTTTCTAGGCATCCCTAGCTTTAATTTCATACTAAAATTCATCTGTTGTGTATGGTATTATTATTTGCATAATTTTTATACCAACTGAAGTTCATGACACTGTGGTCTCTTTACCATTAAATCATTTTTCTAAAATCAAACTAAGAGAGGAACCTTTTGAAATTGAAGGCTAGATAGAAAATCAACAAACCACATATAAAAGACACAGTGAAATACCTGGCACACTATTCTATTCAAGAACCATTTCCAACACAAAACAAACTTTCAAATTTAGTCTTTAGCAAGAGTGTATTATTTTGCAAATAAAACTTAACTATCTTATTTATCATGCCACTGGAATAAAAGTTACCTAAAAGGCTAACTTTTGTGTTTGCTGTTTCTTTTCAGCTGATCCAAGAGTGAGTGAGCCAGTTTCTGGTAAGTGCCTGTCTCAGTGGGAAGCTTTACTAAATTGACTCAACTAAATATGCATAGTAGAAATAAAGCTATGATTTCATGTTTTTGTTTTTAGCCTTTTTACAAGATCCATCAGGTGTGAATGTTTACCTCACACATTAACACTGACAGCCTGAGAGTCTAGTGGCAAGTCAGACATTTTGAAACCTGCATTCACTTAGGTACTAAGCTAGCTCAAATTTCCTGTTTTAAGAAAAAAATTAAGCCCAGATATAACATTTTTTTTTTTTTTTTTTGTGGTACTGGTGGTTGGAACTCAGAGCTTTGTACTTGCTATGCAGGAACACTTTTTTTCCTTTCTTTTCTTTTTTTTTTTTTTTTTTTAAGAAAGGGTCTTGCTTTGTACCTGGGCCAGCCTGGATACCATGATCCTCCTATATGTGCTTTCCTGAATACCTGGGATGATAGGCATGCATTGGTTGAGATAGGGTTTGGCACACTTTTTCCCTGGGTTGGCCTCAAACCACGATCCTCATTATCTCCAGTAGCTAGGATTATAGGCCTGAACCACCAAATCTGGCCAACATTTCCACTTTTAATAACAAGGCATATTAATTTTACAATATGCTGCAAAAAAGAACCCTAAATGTGTTGCTACAGGATAGTTTTTACATCTACACTGCAGAGGCTATTCAACCCCCTAAACATACCACTATCTATTTATAGGAACTTATTTGGGGGCTTATTTGCTTAAACCTTTATATTTTTGGCTCCACCACCTAGTATTGGGGGGAGAGGGACAGCTATCAGTTAGTTGGCAATGAATTTTGTGGACTTTTATAAAGTTTTAGGTCAGATCCTCAGTACCCAAGAGGCAGATGCTGAACTCATACCATGCGTTTTCCTTATGCAGCAGGAAGAGATGCCATCTGGACTGAAAGACCCTTTAATTCAGACTCTTATTCAGAATGTAAGGGTAAACAGTATGTCAAAAGGACCTGGTATAAAAAATTTGTAGGAGTGCAACTCTGCAACTCTCTCAGATACAAGATTTATTTGAGTGATTCCCTCACAGGTAAGCATGGCTACCAGCCCTGTTTGAACCTTTGTGTTCGAGAAACGTTTTGCCTTATTATAAAAGTTGGCTTTTTCTATGGAGACTTTTAGGCATTAAGGGGTGATTCAGCACCTTATACAAGCTTTCCTCTGAGCAAAAGTTACCATTCTAGAAAACAAGGACTTAAAAGACATGCTATTAGACGGTAAATACTGAAAATGCAATTTGAAACAGTGCCATTATGGCAAACTTAATGTATAGGCATTAGCATTCAAACTCAATCTTGTCACAGCCATCCAAGGATTAAGTCTATTGACTTAATGAGTGCATTTAATGATAATCGTGGAAGGAATCTGACATCCTTAAGATGCCAGAACCCCTTGCTCCATACCCAAGTTTAACATTTCTTCTTCTGTATTCATACAGTAAAAATTTAAACAAAAATGTAAGGATCGCCCCAACATAGAAAGATGGGTATTGGTTCACTCATTCAACAAATGTTGTCTACGATGTACCAGGCAAACCTATTCAAGGTGCTGGTGACAAAGCAGTAAACAAAGCACAACCCTGCTTTCATATAGCTTAACCCTCCTTCCTCTCCATAGCAGAGAAAAGACAACAAATATTCAAGTAAGTAAGAATTTTATATTGGTGCTTTGAAGAGTTTTTAAAAGGGTAAGAGAAAATGGCTAAACAGAGATTGGAAGTTCTTTTAGACAGAATGGTTTTATAGGTCTTTGAAAAGGTATCACTTCTGCTAAGAAGAAAATTATGAGAAGTTAACAACCACACAAAGGTTTAGACACAAAGTAGAGACAGGAAAGAAAAAATGCAAAGGTCTGAGGCAGGCATACCTGGCCAGTTCCATCAGTGTGGCTGAGATTTAGTAAAGAGTCAGGCAGACAAGGCTGGATTCAGGTCAACCTTTTAAATCAGGTAAGGATGTTAAGCTTTATTCTGAGTATAATGGGAGACTGTGGAGAGATTTATGGAAGGGAGTAACATCACCTTATTTGCATTTTTAAAAATCTCTAATCTCTGAAAAGGATGGGGAAAAAAGAATATAAGGAGTCAAGAGTGAAAGCAGGGAAACCAGTTGGGAGATTACATTCAGTTCAGTTAAGAGACACTGGTGGCTTGTACTAGGGAGTAAGAGAAAAAAATATGCAAGAACAGGAAAGATGAGTCTTTGAAACAGTTTATTTCAGAGCTGTCATATCTGAGATAAAGTAATATTTTAATTTCTGTTTCTTTAGGAAAATTTTATAACATAGGCGATCAGAGGGGCCATGGAGAAGATCACTGCCAGTTTGTGGATTCATTTTTAGATGGCCGCACAGGACAGCAACTCACTTCTGACCAATTACCCACCAAAGAAGGTATGCTTTCTGATTCTCCTAATAAGCAAGAGTAAACTCAGAAAATATATGAATGTACTCCAAGAAAATCCATAGTCACAAAAATCAGCTATAAAAGATCACTCCCAAACTTAAACCTTTCATGTACTGCCTTTATGGATTTTGTCATACTGCGCACACCTGCAGTATTCATTCCCTTAACATTTTTTATGGAAAAATTTTTTACTACCATACATGGGAAACACAGTATTATTATCTTATAAATAAATAATTATAATTAAAATAGAACAATTCTGCCAAGAAATGAATAACCTCTATAACATGCCAAAGACATATTAGCACCAAGCTGGGTAATGAGAACTGAAAGACAAAAAATTAATTTAATCCTTATCTAAGCAATACAGAGGGAGTAAATTAATTGTCCAAATTGTTCAGGAAATACCGGGAGGTTCTTTAAATACTTTTAACTATTCAATTAGACTTTTCAATAACACATTTTGTTCACTGGTACTTAGATTATATCAGACATACTATGAGATGACTTAGCGATCTGTGAACATACTAATGGACAGTTGAAACTGGTCTCAGATACTACCAACCATCCCATACTAACTTGCTAAGGCAAATGCCAACAATTTTTCAGGTCCTATGATTTTTAGATAGCCATTATACCCCAGGAAAGACACTTGAACCTCTTTTGCTGTTAATTTCTAAATTACTTTGCTTCACTCAGAGTAAGCCTCAGCCATTTAACAATAGCCTTCAATCTATGAGCAGAGTGAAGGCAAAAATACATAGCAGCTATTAAAACTAAACTATTTTCCTTCTTAGGCTATTTCAGAGCAGTTCGCCAGGAACCTGTCCAATTTGGAGAAATAGGTGGTCACACCCAGATCAATTATGTCCAGTGGTATGAATGTGGGACCACAATTCCTGGAAAATGGTAGATGCTGTAATCATGCTCCAAAGTACTTCTGGCAAAAAAAAAAAAAAGGATTGGAAATACTATGTTGTCACATTCATTCAAAGGTATTTTGTTTACTGTGTATAAAAATCTGCAATCTAATTAATAGTATTAGATGTTAATTAGAAAAGATTGCTGAAAATATTTATCAGGTTTTAGTCATTTTAAGAAAGCAAGATAATAACAGAATAACATTTTTAGGGAAGCTGGCTCCCTACTCATGTATTTTAAGAGATCATTTGTATATTATTTATCACATGTTGTAATGATGTTTTGAGATACTTTTATAATGAAATTAACATCAAAGTTATCATATGCTTTTAAAAATATTTACTTTTATTGATGTGCACACTTCCTGTTGGTGAGTAAATTCCATAAATCTCTTACTTATTTTAACTTATCAGATCAAATTATCTTCAAGATATATATCTGAAAGAAAAAGTCCTAATACTTACATTTATTTAAACTTCAACTTTTTTAGCAACAGTTGAACAGATTATCTGAGTTTAATATACACTTCCGTAAACTACAAATTATTGAAAATTTATTTGAATCAGTAAATTTTATTTCAGCTAAAAACCCACTGAGAATCTGATATAATGTTTCGAAGATATAGTTTTTTCCTCTACCCACAAAATGTCTGAATATTCTCTGTCAAACTATGCTGTTAAGCAACTGTCTTCATGTTGTTTTTATTATTCTGATCACGCTGTATGCAGAGACTGAATGTGAAGTCTGAGCATGAAAAGATCATGCATGAGATCCCTACCATTTTACAAGATATTTGCTATATATTTATATGCAAGGCCTCTATGAATGACTGTTCACAGAGTATATTTGTAATTCTGTCCAATTCAAGCTGTAACAAAAATCTGATTTGTTTTCATTAAAGAAGGCATCGCTTTCCTTCATGCTAGAGAGGGAGATGGGAATATTGCATTGTCACCCTCTATCTGACAGGACCTTTCCCTATGCTTACGTTTCAATATGCTTCAGTTTTATAAACGCTACATTTTGTATTTTTAAACAAGCATAAATTTTGCAATAAAGAGATGTAGTTTTTTTTAAAACTGAGTTTTATTTCTGAATGGTTTACTATATGTAAATATACCTTTATCTCCATAAAAAGGAAAATCACAAAGTCAGATTTTACTAAACCTCTCTCCTATCTTTTAATAGTGCATCTATTGTGTTGAGTATTTCTTTCAAAGGACAAAAACTAAACAGCACTGTGTTTTCCTCATTAAATCCAAACTGTTATTTTTTTCCTTCCGTACAAAATATTAAGGGCTAAATTAAATTACGAGACCACTAATGGATTTAATCACCTTTATTAGCCTATCAATGTTACATCTTGTACATAATGTCTAGTCATTTTCTCAAAGGGCTCTACTTTAGTACATTATGTTAATAGTAAAAAGCCAAGTGGTAAATCTCAACCTAGCATTTTAACATCCTCTGAACAAGGGAAGCTAGAAAGCCAATCACTTTACATACATGTAAGTAGTGTTCCAATATAACTAGGAAGCTGCTACATTTTTAAGCAGGGAAGAAAACAACTTTCATTTTGGTCTTTTATTGTGTTCCAGCAAATTATACTTTCAATTAACAGCAATAATGATCTCATAAAAAAATGCTCTGCTTTTTAAATTTCTGAACTTCAATACGAATTAAAATAAAATAGTACTGGAGTCTTTTGGGAGGCAATTAGCTATTAGCTATATTCAACAGTGTATCTGAGCCTCTTTATCGATAACCAGGTCCAGGTTGGGTATAGCCCTGACCAAAGGGAAGGCGGTTACGTGCATAAGGGTTAGGACCACTTGGAGGTGGGTTCATGGTACTTCCAGGAGGTGGAGTAAAACCTGGTCTTGGTTGATAAGCCCCAGGTTGGCTTGGAGCCATTCCAGGCTGAGAGGCAGGGGCCACAGTATAATTAGTAGGCTGAGATGTTTGGGTAGTGTAAGTTTGTGGAGGATAATTGCTCGCCTGGTATGGCTGTGCTGCTTGAGCAGGCAGTTGTGGCTGACCAGAAAAGGCAGGTGCTGGTGCCTGGGAAGTTGGTTGCTGGCCATATCCCTGGAACTGCTGAGGTTGTTGGGGTCCAGTCTGTTGACTATAGCTGGCTGAAAAAGGCAAAATAAGTAACATATTTATCTTGTTTCTCTTTGGTAAAATTCTCCAGAGAATTAAGTCTTACTGTTATGGACCAAAAATGATTAAAAATTTAATAAACTTATTCACAAATATTTATGTAATGGATAGCAGACCATCATAAAAGATTTCAAGATCAACACTAGTTATTAAAGAGGCATTTTGTAAAGCCTTCCAATGTTAAACTAAAATCACTATATGTATTCTCATTATAACTGCTTTAATATTATATAATCCTTGAGAGCAAATTCCTGTTGTAACATAATTCCTATATAGAGTAGATTACTTCAATGATAGATGAAGGAACCAAACTTTCTACAAAAATCAAAAATGTAAAAGCTAAATAGTCATTAATCAGATTTTGGGCGAGACCTATTTAACAGTACCAAATTGCAGAGAATGAATATTTTTAAATCAAACAGTGCTACAAATACATGTTATAATAATGAAATATTTTATTCACCCTATAATATCTTAACTATTTAAAAATAAATACTAAGTACCATTTTCACAATTCTTAAATCTTTTTTTATATTTGGTATCTGATGCTTTTTGTCTTTACAACTCAAAATTTTGACTTAGTAGTAAAGCATAACAAAAAAAACACCACCATAATGCCCCACAAAATCAACATCTACATTCATTAACTAGATGTAATTTTTTAAAAAACAAAGTTGGCTTCACTGAAAACTTTTATCTCTACCATGAAACACACCTGCAGCTACTTGCAATGAAACCTCTCCATTGACTGGAATCCTGTCAGCATTAAATACCAGATACATAAGACAATTATTAAAATATGTACAACCCTGCATTTAAAAAAAAAAGGATTGAATGAATTTGAGTATATTCTGAACTCACCTTGAACCTGGGTTCAAAATTTACTCATGAAAGAAACCTTTATGACATAGTCCATGAACAAAACTGGAAAAGGTCAAAGGGAAAACTGGCAAACCAACAATGTCAAAAACAGTCCAATGTTACCATCACCACCACTCGAAGCAGAATAATTATTATTTCCTTATCTCTCAAAGTCAAGTTAATAGAACTAGTCAGACGAGAAATACAAAGATAATTTGAAAAGCACTAAATTTTACTCAGAGTGAAGACCTGACTAAAATTAAGAGCAAGCTTAGTTATTAACAAGTAGATGAGTACCTTAAGCATTTTACTCATGGAAGTATCTAAATACTGAGCTAAAATCAATTCATGACATTCAAAATTTGAATGTCATACAATTTCTCCTACCCTCTACTTAAAACTTTCGAGCTTAACTTTTTTACTATAAATTTTTGGAAAAACATGGATTTAGCTTTATATTAAAAATGTCTACTCCATTTGAGAGGTGGAAAAAAAGAAAAAATATAGAGAGAGTCAGGATCCTTAATAATTAGTAATTAATTATATTACTTATAATTAGTAATTAATTATTACTAGAAAAAAACTTTTATCTCTACCATGAGATAATTATTGCTCAGGAGACAAAGGGCTGAATATACCATTTCACTAGCAGCCAACTAGGTTTTTGAATATAATGTGGCAATGATTCTATCATGTTTATTAGTCTCCCACTTGTCAACCCTCTCCCCAAGCTCTCCCCAAAAACACTGAACACAAATAAATGAGTAACTATGGATGAAGAAACTGCAAGAAACAGAAATTCTTTTAAAAGTCAATAAATAGTCTACACAAAGTCTAAGATGTTTACTACCCTCATCTACATTGGAAAATGCAAAATGATATAGGGAAGTGTTGAATTACAAAGTCAAGAGAGCTGGGTTCTGGTCCAGCCTGTTCACTGAATGGCTGAGTGTCCTCTGAGAACTCATCAGCTCTTTGAAACTTATTATGAGTGACAAAAACAATGTCAGTAGCCTCAACCTCAGCTACACATGACCTGTGATGCTTTTAAAGTACTAAAGCCTGAGTCCCACCCCCAAACAAATGAAACTACATCTATGGGAAAGGGGTCCAGGCACCAAGAAGCTCCCCAGGCAGATTCTGAAGCACAGTTGAGGTCTGAAATATCCTATATCAAATGATGACTAGATTTCTTCAGCTCTATTATTTCTGTAAGTCATATAATTTATAACACTGATTTTAATGTAAAGGATTACATACTAAAAATAACCTTACTGCTAATATCATAATCTAAGTTCACTCCATCTATTTTATACAATTAAAGCTAGCAACCACAGGTTAAATCATTCTACAGCAAATAAAATTGCTACACATGTTAAAAATGCCAAACTCTAATTAATGACAAAATTTTGTGGTCTGGGCTGTAGTCAGCCCCTTTTTCTGTAACGGATCATATAGTAAATATTTTATGCTTTGTGCCTTTGTTGCAACTAAGCAACTCTGCCATTAAATTGCTAAAGTAGCAAAGACAACACAGAAATAAATGGGATGCAAGTGTCTTAATAAACCTGACTCACAAAAACAAGCAACAGGCCAGATTTGGACTGTAGGCTATAATTTACTTACATCCACTCTAGTTAATAACATAGAATTCCATAAAATACACTGAGTGAGATTCAACTTACATAATTTTTAATTACGCTTGAAATTTTGATAGTTAGATTTGACTGTAAAACAAGAGTTGAATACCAAAATATAAATATTACCTGAATTATAACTAAAGCTACATTAAAGAAATTTATCATATTTAAATGCAGATAAACTTTAGTGGACAGGTAGTAAAACAAATTACTCAGGAAATCTTATTTGAAACAACTAAATTTAATGTTCTTAGTTGCCTAAATTATATTTTCAGTAATTTTATTTGTATGATCTATTTTTGGTATTCCTACAAACTTTCAAGAGATTTGAACATCTAAGTAGCTTAATTTATTTTTTATTTAGTAAGATCACTTTCCTGTATGTGAGGGAACTATTTTTATGGGTACCAAAAATTAGAATTCTGTGTTACATATAAATGGAGGAAAATCTTCAATTTTTCTCAGTTCTAAGTTATCTAAGAGGTTAAGTATACATCATGTTAAGAGACAGCTTTATATTAAAACTGTATCCTACAAGTTATAGAATAAACTACTATAATTATCTTATTTCCCACTGGAAAGCTGAAATGTTATTTCTACTAAAATATTTAAGTAAAAATTTAAATATATATAAAATGAATAGTTTCTCCTAATAAATACTTAACACCTACTATGACAGTGTATTATGAATCAAGTATTTAAGAAGAGTTTAAAATTTAGTCAGTATATAAACAGAACAAAAACCACAACCAACTCCCTTTTGACACCTGCTCACCTGAATACTGAATACCATACTGCTGAGGTGGCTGAGGTGGAGCCTGAGGCTGCTGTGCACCATAGCCAGCTTGCTGCTGGTACTGTTGGTACATCTGACCTAAAAAAGAAAATAAAAGGAAAAGAGGTAGTTTAACTTGGCAGAGAGAAGTATTTTTAAGTGCGTTTAGATTTTTTCCCATCCAAGTACATAAACACACTAAGTAATAACATACAACGTGTTTGTTACCCTTTAAATGTCCATGAAGAAGAGAAAAATGAACAATTTAAGAAGTGTGAGTGCTCCACTGTGGACAAACTCCAGAAAACTTTAATTGGCAGCAAGCATTACATGCTACAACACTACTACTTCATAAATTCCAGAGAAACAAATGTTTTCAAAACCATATGCCATACATCCTGCTATGTTCAGTAAAAATCAGGTGGGTTGAAAATCAATAAAGAAAAATATGAGAAATGGGGCAAATACTATCAGTAGCTTCTAAATCTTTCCCAAAGTGCTATATTTATCCTCTAAAGGTTTGGATCACTATTACCACATAAATGAATCCCTTAAAGAATGTTTTTCATTATAGAACTCAAATGCTTTGAATTTGATAAGTTTGATTTTCTATGAATATCTAATACCTGAATATCCTAGCAAATTATATGGAATTTGATGAAATCTACATGGTTCATCACTGAGCTTTTAATAATGGTTGATCTCTTGAACACATGAGACATGTTCTTGGACACAGGAATCCTACTTGGGCCAGTAAACCACAGTTTCTATGGATAACTCTGTTAAGACACTTATAAGCTGTGATTTTTCAAATCACAGTAAGGATTTACTGGTCATTATCATCTCTACTTCTTTACAGTATTTTAATGGATTTAACTAAACTTAGTGCCTACAGTAACAATAAATCTCACATTTTAACAGTTAGCTAGCATTTAAATCTTTAACATAATGCTACGTCAGTTTCTTTTTTTGTAAAATATTCAAATGACTTGTTAATCAGATACTTATGGCAGAAAGTGAGACAAGTACTAAGGAGAAAAAAAAGTAAATACATTTGGGAGTGCCACTGAAATACACGTGTAGTACGCAGCTTGAACTCGCAGGCTTAGATCAAGAGATGGAGCCCATTGTACTGTATTGGCTATTGTCAACTGGGCAACACTAAGTGAGATATGCCTATATTTATATTCAGCTCATTTTCTAGCAAGCAGTTGTATGCTTTTTTAAATAATAAAAATAAAATCTGGTCAACGATTTTGTAAGCTATTAATCCTTTTCCCAAACATAGTGACAAAAAAAACAAGTTTCTTAATTTTTTTTTTTTTTTGGGTGAGGCTGAGGATGGAACCCAGTGCATGCTAGGCAAACGCTTTGCTACTGAGCTACACCATTAACTCTTAAATGTTTTCTTAATGGTTTAAACTAACACACACCATAAAAAGTAGCACAAAAGTTAACTAAATCTAGGCACCACCTGAATCCTGGACTGTTGTAATTTTTGATTAAAAGTGACTAGAATCTAAAATAAAAAGGTAAGCAGGTTAAAACCAAGGGGGAGAATTATGTATGACAATAAGTTCTAATTCTCAGAAATGACAACTGACTCCACCAAGCAAAAATTAGCAAATGGCTGTAAATACATTTAAAAAAAAATCAGAACCATCAACAACTAAGAACCAACAATGGAATCCCACCTAACTCCAAAGCTTTAGTTTATGAAGTATTCTACATGCTATCCCATTTAGTATAAATATTAGGCATCTTCAAAATGGATGAGATTGAAATAGACCACTGTCATCAAATACTCATGTTCAGGGCTGGGAATGTAGCTCAGTGATTAAGTGTCTGCCTAGTGTTATGCATGGGGCGCTGGGTTCCATCCCCAGTTCGAAAAAAAAAAAAAGAACTCATGCTCAGTGTAATTTTTCTCCTCAATAAAAATGTATAGGTACGACTCTTAAAAGTCTGCTTTTTCCTTTTTCTTTCTTATTTGGTATGTTCTCCTAAACTGCTACAAATTCATTTTGAAAAACACCACTCCTAAAACTAAAAGTTCCCCACCCCTAGAAGTTTATTTCCATCTCTACAAAGTAAACTTTTTATTAATTTTTACACCCATTGTTCAAGACCAAATAGGACTCTGTCCCATTGTTCTGAAATTTAATTAAGTCTGGGCTTAATTGTGAAAAAAGGAAAAAGAGTATCTCTAACAAACTTGAAAGGAAAAATCTACAGTACAGATTAAATAAAAAACATGAGGTACAGACACTTTATAATATGTAATATTTAGTAATAAAATATGTAAGTTATGTTTTATGCATGATATGTTCAAAAAGAATCAATAACAGAATTAAGTAAAAAGTAATTTTTAAAAAGCACCTAGGAAGAAAAAGAACAGGCAAAAACAAAGCAGTGGGAATGTACTTCTTGGGAATATACTTTGTTGCAGAGTGGCAGTCAGCCTCCATGATTACCAATGACTTCTGCACATGGATAGCATATGACAATGGGTTGGTATTTTTTATATTGTTAGAAATTAGAAAGATTTAACTCTGTAATTAAAAAAATGACTAAAAAATAATCAATGAAAACATAAGTATCCACTCCCTGTTGTAGTCTCTTCTACACTAAGTAGGGCTGTATTATCAAGGGAATAATATTACAGAAATGATGATGACAGTTCTGACAGCAAGTCATAAAAGACAGCCGTCTTCTACCGCTCTCTCTTGATCACTCATTCTGCTGGAAGGTGCCCTATTAAGGAGGCCAAAGCAATCTCACAGAAAGGTCAAGGTGTGGTGGTAAAGAACTGAATCCTCCAGCTCTGGGTAAGCTTCAGCTGACTACCACCCCAGCATCGTTTCAACTGTAACCTCATGAGAGACCCAGAGCTAAGCTACTCCCAGATCTCTGACTCTGAAACTGTGGGCAATAGCAATTTGTTGTTTTAAGCATCTATTTGGGGGCAATAGTTACACAGGAATAAGTAATATTCAGCTTTGGCTCTGGATACATGTAGGAGATGACAGCTATTAAAAAATAATAAAAGACTTCAGGCATATTAAAAGAATGCCAAGATGCTAGTAAGTGTCAAAACTGCAGGATGGGTACATGAAGAGATGATTATTCCATGGGGATGTTTCAAAATTTACATAATAGAAAAAGCAATTTTTAAAGTCTACTCAACTTTCCATTACATGGACATATAGTTTTCCAGATTTTAATTTTATCCTTTTGCACCTCCTTAGTTTTGGTTTAGCAATACCTCCTGATCTTGTGCTTTTAGTGCTCTTCTCATTACCACTTACTTAGTTTTAGGGAACTATCAAGCTATACAGTTTACCAGGAGGACAGACATTGATTATCTGAAGATTGTAAAATGGTCCATTTTGGTTTTTAAAATGATGAACAGTCCTGTTCTGTATAATGTTTCCATCAACCATGGACTGCATATTCTACAGTGGTCCCTTCTGATTCTATTATCTAGTGACACTGTGATTATCTTAGTTTGTTATCAACACACCCTGTGTTGTTCACACAAGGACAAAACTGCCTAATCACACATTTCTCAGATAGTACTCCTGTCACTAAGTGATGTATAACTGAATTTTCTTGAGCCTTTTAAAATTTATTTTGTGATGGAGTCCAGGGCTTCACACATGATTGGCAAACATTCTACCACCGAGCTACACCCCCAGCTTGAGCATTTTAACTGAACAACATATTAAGACTACAGTCCTTGAGAAAAAATTTATAAGATCCTTTTATAGAATTTAAGTAATGACTGAAAAGTCTTAATTTTGTTTTGGATTATTTCATAAGCGATCATATAAATCAATTATTAAGTACATTCTGTTGATAAATCTGCTTTAATTATGACTAGTTATCTAAATAACTGGCAATGTCAAGGACTCACACATTATACATCAAAAAGTATTTATTAAAATGCTTATAGTTCATTTATTTAGTTATATATTACACTGAACACAAAAGCCACTACCACATATGGCTGTTAAGCATCTACAACTAGTCTGAATTGTAATATGGTGTATGTTGTTTGAAATGTTTCAAACAGATGTCACATCTCACATTCCAATACACAATACAAGAAGACATTTTTAAATTAGTAATTACAGGCTGATATATTACACATGCTAAATAAAATGTATTACTAAAACTAATAGTACCTTTAAAAAATTTTTTAATGCAGCTAATAGAAAATTCTAAATCATATGTGACTTCTATTATAACTCTTTTGGACCAACATTGATCTAGAACTAGTTCAGTCACTAATAGTTTGATTGATGACATATATTAATAATTATATAACTTTTATACTATATGTTTAAATGTAAGCAAAAAGCAGCAATGCATATAATTAATGCCTCTCTAAAGTAGTTCTAACATTATTACTCTGATGCCTCTCAAAAAGGGAACACAGTTGCTAGGAAACAGTGGTGGGAAAGAATTTTCACTGTATATCCTTCATACTCTTATAATTTTACTTATTTGAAAATTTTCAATTAAAGCAAATCTCAAAAGATAATTTGAGATATTACTAATGGAGCCTTAAATCTAATAAATAATATCAAATCTTACTTTACTTGTTACAATTATCCTTCTACCTATCATTCAGCTTAAAATGGGATTTTTAAAAGAACTTATGGTTTTTAATTTACCTGAGATAGCTTTTAACACTCATCACACTCAAACTTTGCTTTTTGCCTCCCCGTTTCACATCTACTTTGGTTCTAGTTCTAATTTTGGCAGTAGTATTTTGGAGTAGAGGATAACTATAACTAAAGTTAGTTGAGAAAAGGCTTAAGCAGTAAGAAATGCTTCCCAAACCATTCATTAGCAAAATACCATATGCTAGTCCCTAGTGACTCATATTCATTCAATGAACAACTATGAAAGCATCACCACAGGACGGTAAGATTCTGACCCAAAAGTAGTCAGTTTATTTTAGGCTATGATCTAAAAAAAAAATATATATATAATATATATATATATATATATATACACACACACACACACACACACACAGATATACATACATACACGATTGAGAACCTGAGTCACTTGCTTCTGGTGTTGAGTAACTTTCACCAGACCCTTTTATACAAATAGTTAGAGCACCATCTGGTGTTTACTGTTTTTAAAAGTCCTATTGTGGGGCATTCCACAGAAATAACATCATAATATCAGGAAGGCACCCTGGAGATCAGTAGTAGTCAGCCATGCTCTGAGAATTCCAAGTCATTCAATAAGCCATTTCAGTTGCTGTCCTGAGCTTGTGGCTCCTCAAGCTATTTCGAAGACAGAAATGATTCCTTTACTGGTTTTAAATACTGAGCTTTCAAGTTACTCAGGACTATAGGCATTCGTTTGAAACCAATGGTTTAGTCCGATTTTCACATTCATGATCAGTGACAGAATATCAAAACCCACAGATACATAATTATTTACCCAAGGGCACACCGTTTGAAGAAAACTGTGACTTAAAATAACACTGCCATTTTCTATTGAAGTCCATTGCTAACTATACAAGCCCTTTATATGGGCTGTCAAAAAAAGTCTATACTACCTAACTAAAATTATGTTTTAACTCTATTTTAAAAGTCTTCTACATTACAAAGATAATACATAGCTAAAATTATGTTTTATCATAGTGGGTGGGGGTAGAGGGAGGGAGAGAGGGAGGGGGTAGAAATAGCCCAAACAATGTATGCACATATGAATAAATGAATAAAGGAAAATAAAATTATGTTTTATCACATTAAAAAAATCTTTTTCAACTACAAAAACTAATAACTCACAAGTACTGGGGGTGGGGGGATAAAACAGTACCTAAGTATTATGCAAAATAAAGTGTAAAATCACACTTCTTAATTTCACTTTCCTCCTCAAGGATTACCACTGAGTAGTAAATAGTATAAACTTTTCCTGATCTATTACTTGGTATTTATATTCACTTAAAACACTTCTTTAGCTTTTTTTTTTTTTCAATCATCAGAAGCAAACCTGAGATTACATTTTGTTTTTCCTGCCATGTCAGTAAATGAAAACTTTTTATGCTGTTTCTATAGCATAGCTGCATATATAACAGGTTTACCATTACCAACAGTGCCTCAATAATACTTCTCCACATGCACCTTCCCACACATAGGCTCTAAGCTCTATTTTACCTTCAATCTGACCTGCTTGTGTCTGAGCTCCTGTGTATGGAGGCTGCTGTGGCTGAACTCCTGGTGGGTGAGCTGCTGAGGAGGAGGAAGCAATGCTGTCAGGTGTTCCTGAACGGTCTTCTGCAGGAGCACTGGGTGGCCCTAGGTAGTCATGAAAAGTCAATTTAGCACCCTACCCAAGGTCTTTCACCAGGAAGCTCAATAAATAAGCTTCAGTTAAGACACTAAAAATAAAATTACTTTAGAACAAGTATATCACCTTGAATGGAGCCTTTTACATTAAATCCACACTTTTATTTTCTCCTTTACTCCAGGCTCAAGAATCACCTTCCCCCTGCAAATACCAAAACTCATGTCTGCAGTATGAATAGTCCCCTACCCCAAGCAATCTACTTTGTACATCAACTGAAAATCCACTTCATTTTTTAACAGGCCTCCACTGCCCATAAATTATTTTCAAGTCCCCTAACTAGGTATTCAAGGATCTAAACATTTCTCCCAATGCCTGCTCTCCCATTCCCCTCCCTCCGTCAGCTAAACTGACCTACTCCCTAGTCTCACAATACATCTAACAAGTTTTTGGCCTCTACTTCATTAATAACCCTTCCCTCCACTTCCCATATATTTAAATATAGCATATATTAAAATATGACATTCTTTAAAAAAACATTTATCATTCCACACTTCTAGTAAGCCTTCTTGATTCATACTTTATTCAATAGTGAATTTCTATACAGTTTACTTTTATAAAGACCCAAACCAACTTCTACTTTGAATTTCTGAACAGTTCCCACTTTTCCTCTTAGCTTGTGAGCTCTTATGGCCATGTCTTGATTATTGATTCTTTTTGTCTGATTCATAAGGCCTCAGACTCTAACTTACATATATAGCTACTCAAATTCTTCCAGGATAATGGAGTAGACATGAATGGAGAGAATCTTCTACAGTTTCAATATTACGGTAGTCAAAAAAAAAGGATATGGTGAAGATAACTACAGATATGCCTTACTCCTTTAAGCTATTTTTGTTTTAGCAAAAAGAAGAGTGGTTAAAAGCACAGGCTGTGTTGGCAAATTGCATTGGTTATAATCCCAGGGCTGCTAACACTAATTGTTTAACTCGGCATGGTACATAATCTCTTTCTGTGCTTAGGGTTCCTCATCTATAAAAAGATACACTAATTCCTGCTTTATAAAGCTACTGTAAGGATTATGAGTTAAGAGGGTTTATAGCAAATGCTTATAAAAGTGATCTATAGCAAAAGCTTATAAAAGTGTTTACCACTTAGAAAATTTCATATAAGTACTTATTACTAGCAGGCAAACTTCCTGAGTTCTATCTTTTGCACTGATCTGTCACCAGAAATTATCACTTGTTATGGTTTAGATCTAAAATATCTCCCAAAGACCATGTGCTAAAGTCTTGGTTGCCAGCTTATGGGCTTTAGGGAATTGACTGGGTCATGAAGACTCTGACCTCATCAATGGATTAATCCACTGATGGGTTCATAACCTGATAGGTTATTATGAGGTGACAGAAAATTAGGAGTGGGTGCTGGGGACTGTATCTTGTTCCCAGCCACTTCATCTTGTTCTTTTTGCTTCCTGGCCACCATGAGGTAAGCAGCAACCTCCCTCACATGCTCTGCCAACATGATATTCTGCCTTACTTCAGGCCCAAAGTAATGGAACCAACAGACCATGAACTGAAGCCTTTGAAACAATGATCCAAAATAAATCTTTCCTCCTTTATGTTGATTTCCTCAAGTATTTTGTCACAGCAAGAGAAAATAATATACCACTGTATTGGGCACATGGTTGGCAGCTAACAGTCCAGTGCTAATGAGAACCACATTGAGTTATAGCAGTGATAATACTTTAGCAAAGTAAAATGAATGACAGCTTTTGTCTACCATTTTACTTATATACAGATAAATACATACACACAAAAGATGTTGTGTAATCATAAAAACATAGATTACTTTGACTCCTCTTTCCTCCTTTACATATGTAAATTATTAGTTAATGTTGCTTCTTCTATTTTTGTAATAGAAGAAGGGATGGTAAGCATCCCTCCTTCTCATTTCAGCATTTACTATGCTACTTGAGGGTTTCACATTACACCAGAAGATCTACAAAAGTATCCTAGCTGTTGTCTATGCGTATAGTTTTTCCCACTATAATTCAACATACAAAGCTACTAGAAAAATTGTCTTCAAGTAATATAAATCATAATAATGTTATTTGGGTCTGGCATATATTGTAGTTAAACAAAAAATTCAATCCTGACCTCATAACTATCCATTCTTCTGTATGGTATTTTTTGATGCATAAATACTTGAAAGGAACATTAACTCATACTTCAGTTGCTCTAAAAATGTGCTTTTCAGATGTGTCATTTCTCCATATAGAAATCTGTTAATTTTAAATTTCTCTTATTTAAGATCAGAAATATAATTTAAATATATTTTAAATATAAATTAAAATAAAATTTAATCCTGCAACAAATCTAAGATTATAATCTTAGATTTTAATCTAAAAAAAACTCTATACCAACTAAAAAGCAGAGGCAATTCCCTAGAAGGGACTTATTTAGCATAGTCATAGATTATATAAAAGATGATAATTATTAGTATTATTATACCTAGCTATTGTTTTCCATGTCCTGGGCACCTGTACTAAGCATATACATTATCTTCTACTTTCAAAAGCATCATTAGATGCATAATAATTTTACAAAAGAATTTGAGAAACTTGCTCAAAGACTCACTATTAGCAAATGGTGTCAGAGTGAGGGTAATAGGTTAAACTTGTGTTCATATGTAAATTAGTTTGGCTGAAGTTTTCACATTTAGATAACTACTAATGCTTTTTCATCACATGAATTCATTTCTATGATATATAATAAGAACAAACATTGTAGGTATTTATCAAAATGAAACTCATTTTTAAAAAACTGCAAGAAAAAATTTTAAAGGGAGGTGGTAGAGGGGGATAAGAAAGGGTAACAGAGGGAGTGAATATGATCAAACTATATTATATCCATGTATGGGAATATAACAGTGAAACACCACATTGTACAATTAATAGACATTAATAAAAAATGTGAAAAAAATAAACTTTAAAAAAACTTTCTAAATACTACTTTTGATAAAATTTACTTGAACCAAACATTGGTTATTCTTTAAGGGGGACAGTGCTACTGAATGGGAAAAGGCAAAAGAAAGCTCTGTGGGGTGCTGACACTATTATTCTTGATTTAGTATTTTACAGAGATACATATACATATAAAAATTTAGTGTAGGAACCTGTAAGATTTACACACTTCATCATACCCAAGTTATTCAATAAAAAAAGGAGGAAAGAGGTTATTCTTGTTCTCTCTGTACAGGTGACCCACTTACAGTCCACTCAAAGTGTGTTCCTTTCATAGTAAGCTTTACTATCACTTTCAGAAAAAAACATATTAAAAAAAAGAAAGACAGAAAAGAATGAGGGCAGGTAAAGATGAGAGGGAGGCAGGAACTAACTTACCTGAAACCTGATCATCTGTTAAGCCAAACGCTGACATCACATTTTTATTGATTTCATCTTGGTTTTTCAGAGGATCAAAAGCTGACATACTTGCTGCCATAACCTGAGTAGACTGTTTGCCAGAAGAATCAGAAGCAGTAGGCTTTTCTTCCCTACCATCCACAGCATCTATAAAAAAGAAGAATAAACAAAAACTTGTTTCCGTTTTATCTATATTCAATAAAGCCTAAAGGTACCAGATAGGTAAATACATATGTGCATAACTAACCAAGCAAGTATATGTGACAGGACTAGAGATCTTTTCACTTTCTCCTTTATACTTGTTCATACTTTTATTTTTAAAATCAGGAGTGGCTCAAGCAGTAAGAGCATCTGCCTAGCAAGTGTGAGTCCCCGAGTTCAAATCCCAGTATTGCCAAGAAAAATCAGGAGGAAAACAGAAATGCATAATATATAACAGCTTTTCCAAAACAAAAATATTGCCTTCTTCCTCCTCTAAGAATTATCAGCTTAAATCAGGTGTGGTGGCACACACCTGTAATTCCCATATCCAGGAGGCTGAGGCAAGATGGTTGTGAATTTGAGGCCAGACTAAGTTACATAGCAAAACTCAGTCTCAAAACAAAGCAAGCTCTTTAACAGAGAAACATTTTACTTGTTTTGGAAACCAATGACCAGTGAGGATCCAAAGGCGATGAGAGTGCAGAAGCAGACAGCATGAGGTATGTAAATCAAAAATCTTGCTGAGATGCTGGAGCCACACTTGGCAGAAAAAAAACACCAAGAAGAATCAAAACTTCAACACCTTGAAACCCCAGCCCATACAAAGCTTCTCCACGCCACGTTACACTGAGAAAATAGAAGGGCTCCCACACCACCAGATGCCAGCTCCAAACCTGCTTGGGAGACATTCGGCATACCAACAGGTGAGCAACAAGCATCATGCTGTATTCCCTCAGCCCACCCCTGGGATAAACCAGCATAGCCCCCTGGACAGACTGACCCCCCCCCCCCGCCCCACAAAAAAAACTGAATAAACAAAGAACTGAAAAGGCACATGCAGCAGAGAGGGTGGGGTGCTGTAAGCCCACAGGAGAAGAGGGGAGGGGCAATAAGCTGATCTCAGGAACTTTCAATAAACAAAGACTGGGAAGGCAGAAGAGCTGACAACAGACAGGTGATAAGCCACAGCCTGAAACAGGGCAGGTAAGCAGTCCACAAAGCTCATCTCCTGAGCCAGAGGGCAATATCCAAAGTCAAACAACACTGCAAAATTGAAAATAATCAGCAAACCACCATAACACACTGACAGCAGAGAGCAGCTGACAGATCTCTGACCTTGCCACAGAGAAAGGGGGTGAGGCAAAGAAACAAGCCCCCAATAAACCAACACAGTGAAAACCCAACTCCAAAGCAGGACAGCTGGTGGGCTACAGAGCTGTTCTCCAGAACCTGAGGACAATATACAAACTCCTCACTGAGGGAGGAGCTGACTAAGCAGCTGCCACTGAAAGACAGGAAAAAAAAACTGGCAAGACTCCCCAACCACCTGGTGAGACTAAGACAGAGCCTCTGCTTAAATACCAACACCAGGACTGGATGCTGAAGGAATAACACCAGAACTACTAAGACTGAAATTCTATTGTTTCTGAACCTGGAATCTTTTTGTGTTTGTTTGTTTGTTTTGTCTCCTGTTTGTTTGTCCATCTCTCCCTGTTGATTTCTTTGGGGTTTTTTTGTTTTTGTTTTATTTTGTTCTGTTAGTTTTACTATTGTGAATTAGCTAATACTAAATTACACACAGACCAGGGACAGAAATAGCATACATACACTAACCTAAAACCCAACACACCCACAAAACAAAATTAAACCAAGGTAAAGAAAACAGGTGACTGAAACCACCAAGAGCCTATCAAGAACATAGCTGCACAGTACCAACTGGAGCAATAGCAAGACGAAAAAGGGATGGAAACCATTCTCCCCACAAAAATAATTTAATACAGGATTCAGAGGAAAATTAAGAAAATGGATACCCAGTTCCAGACTTCAACAAAACAAAGATAAACTATGCCAAGGAACCCAATGAAGCCCACAAGATCATCCTGAAAGAAGAAATCCTCCAAGTAATCACTGAGAATTTCATGGAGATGTTACTAGACATGGTCAACCAAAACATAAAAGAGGCACTCAAGAAATTCCAAGACAACAAAACTAAAGAATACAAGACACAGAAACAAATAAATGAACTCACAGGAGCCCTAAATAAACACCAAAGTGAAACAGAGAACACTCTAAATAGAGAGCTAAATGAATTAAAGATGAAAATTGACAATATTAAAGAGGAAACGACCCATGATATGGAAAACCTCAGAAAAAAGAATGAAACAGAAACACAAAACACATTGAAGGCCACTCCAGCCGACTAGAACAAGCAGAAGACAGAATCTCAGAACTTGAACATAAAATGGAAATTAAAGGAAAAACCGAAGAGCTATAAGTAAAACAACTCCAGTCCTGGGAAAGGAATATGCAAGAACTCACCAACTCCTTCAAAAGACCAAACCTGAGAATCATGGGCATTGAAGAAGGAGAAGAGGTACAAGCAAAAGGAATTCATAATATATTCAACAAAATAATAACAGAAATTTCCCAAATCTAGAGAAAGCTATGCCCATTCAGGTACAGGAAGCCTCCAGGACACCAAACAGACTTGATCAAATCAGAACTACCCCATGACATATTATCATAAAACAATAAGCACAGAAAATAGAGAAAGAATATTGAAGGCTGTAAGACAGAAAAAACAAATAACATACAAAGGTAAACACATCAAAATCACAAATTTCTCAATGGAAACCTTAAAAGCAAGAAGAGCATGGAGTGAGGTATTTTGGGCACTGAATGAAAATAACTTCAACCCTAGAATACTCTATCCAGCAAAACTATCATTCAAAAAATGGAGCAATAAAAGTCTTCCATGATAAGCAGAAACTAAAACAATATATGACCACTGAGGTACCACTACAAAAGATTCTTCAAGGAATTCTGCACATAGAAAATGAAAGCAATCAAAACCATAAAAGGACAGGCAGTATCAAACCACAGGAGAAGAAAAGACAAGGAACTGGAGATTAACACTGATTCAGTCAGCTGCACACAATCAAACCCTTAAACAAAGGCAACTAAATGACAGGAATCACCACATACCTATCAATACTGACACTGAATGTTAATGGACTTAACTCCCCCATCACCGTTTGGCAAACTGGATTAAAAAGGAAGATCCAACAATCTGTTGTTTATAGGAGACCCATCTCATTGACAGAAACAAGCACTGACTTAAGGTGAAAGACTGGAAGAAGATTTACCAAGCCAATGGCCCTGAAAACAGGCAGTAGCAGCAATACTTATCTTAGACAAAGTAGACTTCAAACTTACATTGATCACTTGGACAAAGTACACTTCAAACTTACATTGCTCAAATGAGATAAAGGACACTCCACACTAATAAAAGGTGAAATACACCAAATGGAAGCCAATGACCTATTTTTTAGTATTACAGACAGATTAGGAATTCAGGAAATAATAGTTATAGCAATTAAATCTTTAAGTATAAGAAGCTGACCTAAAACTAGGATCTCAACTTTTTATGGGTTTTGGTTACCTATTGGTCTGCTACTAAATTATATGGAAATTGATATCTACCTGCTACCTATTTTCCTCACTATAATCCCAAATATATCCCTCCTATAATCCCAAAGGTACATTCCCAAGACCATACCACATCAACTTACAAATTATTCCCCCTTGTACCACTACTAGCTGTTACCATCTATGTGTCTTTACACAAACCAAATCCATCAGGAAACACTCTGTATGTCCATTAGCCTACTATTTGTTCCATTAGTTGCTAAAGCTAGCACAACAGGTAAGCCCAGTATCTAAGGTAGCTTACATATCATTTGCCTCATAGAGGAACACAAAACCAAAAACCACTGCAGAGGTATAGCACTGAAGCATGTTACCATGTATGAATTCTAAGAAACTTGTCTGATGTTTTCTTTAGATTCTTGATCTAAAATCACAGCTTTTTTGTTTGGAGAGGAAGAGTTCAGGAAAAGCTACTTGCTTTCACTTGAAATAAAAAAAGTTTCATCATAAAACTGGCTAAGAAGGTATTACAGTGTTTAAGCAAATCTCCAATATGTTCTGAAATACAGGTAGAACTAGAAGTTACTAATTAATCACCAAATATTTATTGAGCATTTACCATAAACACAATTCCATACAGCTAAAAGAAGAAAGAGGAAAATTATGGAAAATGCATCTTTATTTAAACCATAAATTAAATAACTAAATTAAAAAGAAAACCAAGGAGCTAGGTTTATGGCTTGGTAAGTGCAAGGCCCTGGATTCAATCCTCAGCAAAAATAAAGAGGGAAGGAGGGAAAGAAGAAAGAGGAAAAGAAAGAGGTAAGAAAGAGCGGTAGTAAAAAGGAAGGGAAGAAAAGAAGAAGGGGGGAAAGGGGAGGGGAAGGAAATGAAAACTCCAAAATTATTCAGAAGAGAAAAATAGAATTATATCTCAGAATCTAAAGGTTCCAAAGAATTATGCATGGCACTTTCTTCACACAAATTATCTTCTTTTATACCTTTTATATGCACTCATCTAGAAATTTAAAAATGCTATTTCACAGGCTTAAACATTTAAAATTAGTAGTTATAAATATCTGAAAATTATAGGCAAAATTCATCTAGAAACAACAGGTTTTTGTCTTTAAGTGAAATATCTAAGAATTTTAAATAAAAGTTGAGGAAAGCAGGTTTTTTTTTTTTCTTTTTTTTAATGGCACTACTGAGGTTTGAACTCAAGGCCTAGCAAGTGCACTACCACCTAAGCCATGCTCCCAGCCCTTTTTGCTTTAGTTATTTTTTGAATATGGTCTCGCTTTTATGCCCAGGTCAGCTTGGACCATGATCCTATTTATACTTCCCACGTAGCTGGATGACAAATGAGTGGCACCACACCCAACTTTTACTGGTTGAGATAGGAGTCTCCTACTAAACTTTGTGCTTCAGCTGGCCTTGGATCTCAATCCTCCTGACCTCTGCTGGAGTAGGCAGGAATAAAGGCATGAGCCACTATACCCAGTAGAAAGCAGTTTTTTAAAAATCTACTTTCAAGGGTGGGGAGTGGTGGTACACATCTGCAATTTCAGCTTCTTGGGAGGCAAAGATGGGAAGATCAGGGTCTGAGACCCACTCAGGCAAAAAGCACAAGACGATATCTGAAAAATAAAGAGAAGGGCTAGGAGTGTGGCTCAAGCCACTTACCTAGCAAGTGCAAGGCCCTGAGTTCAAATCCCAGTATCAACAAAAATTATCAATAAATAAAAATAAAATCTACTTTCAAGCCACCACATGTTTAGGTTTCAGTCCACATTTTAAAAACATATGGACCCAAACTGTAACAGTTCAAATTTGTTGAAAGACCTTGCTTTATCTTAACTTTTGGTAAATGATATGTGTCATCTGTAAAACAGAAAAAAAAAAATCAATTTTTCTTTGTATAATTACTTAAAATTGTTTAAATAAACTTTAATAAACCATTTTAATGTACTAATTTAAAACTGCTTACTTGAAATTATTTCATATTCTACACAAAATTCATAAAATGATTTTCAATTTCTAAGGTTCATTAGGGTTCATGAGTCAAAGGGTTTGAAAACTGACCTATTTATGGCATAAACTCAGGAGTCTAAGGCAAGTTGAAGAATCATCCAAAGGGCTTTAAAAATGAGATCCAGGACCTATCCTCCAATATGTCTTTGATACGTAATCCAGGAATTGGTATAATGCAACCCCCCAATTGCCAGGTTTAGGAACACAGACGTGAACATTAGTGCAGAGGCTAAGGGTGCCATCCCATTACTAAAGAACTGTTTCCAAAAAAAAAAAACTTCAATAAGATATAAAACCAGTGCACCAGAATGAAATGAATTCATGGTTTACCATTTTCAGGAATACTGGTAGAAGGCCCTGGTTCTCCAGGTGGTTCCAAGCTATCCAATAAGCGATTCACTTTATTTCGAAGTTCTATCAGTTCTCGACGAAGGTATTTCACCTGACTTGATTCAAGGGGTCTTGGTTGGCCGTTAACTGAAACAAAAGCAATAATTTACTGAAACTTGGAATCAGATGTTCTTGAGTAGATGTGTCCACAGAATATGCCATAAAGCACAACAAATACCTTTAAAAAGTATTGAAATAAATTTTAAAATAGTTAAAATTTAGAAGTATCAGAATAAGTGAAAATTATTAAAGTACTAAAAATATCAAAAGTATTAAATATGACACCTTTAAAAAGCAACAAAAATCAAGACATCTACTGTTATTTGAATAATTCTTTTTAAGGAAAGGATATTTTTTGCTAATGCTTTAAAAAAAAAAAAGAAACATCCGTAAGTCTCTTGATGCTAGACCTGTCTATGGTTTACTGAGTATACTGGTAAAAAGGTTTACTAGAAAAACTCAACTATAACAAAATAAATTAAGACCTGCAGAAAGCTCTAATTTAATAATTGAAATTACTCTTAATGGAAATTATGTACTTCAAATTACATTTTTGGCAGTTCTAGGGTTTGAACTCAGGGCTTTGTGTAAGCCAGGCAGGCACCCCACCCTTGAGCCACACCCAGCCTTTTTTGCTGTAGTTATTTTTCAGATAAGGGCTCAGTTTTCTGCCCAGGCTGGCCTGGACAGCAATCATCCTACTTATACTTCCTACATAGCTGGGATCACAGACGTGCATCATCATGCCCAGTTATTTTGCCGAGATGGAGTTTCACTAGCTATTTTGCCAGCTCTGACCTTGAACTGCAATCCCCCCAATTTCTGTCTCCATAGGCTTAAGCCACTACTATCCAGCCCAATATTTTTGAAATAATGAAAACATACCTTTTACATACATAAACATTAAGAGAAAACATGACTGGCAGGTCTAGTAATCCCTCATTTTTGCTTACTTTTAGTTAAAAAAAAACCCAGCTAGCTAAAATAGCTAATCTAAAAAATAATCCATTAAAAAAATACATGTAGAGCTGGAGGGTGGCTCACATAGTAGAGTGCCTGACTAGCAAGTGCAAGGTCCTGAGTTCAAAACCCAATACCATCAAAGAAAATCCATGCAGAATTTATGAATCTACATCAACATTGTCCTTCAAAGCAATTGCTTCTAAAGGAATATAAACCACAAAAAGTCAAAGATTACCCCATAATCACTTTTTAGCTGTGACTAATCTGCTACTTAGCTATCCACTTAGTATTTAACTTCAATTACATTTTTCATTTCTAAAAAGTTACCGTAAGTTCTTTAAAAAAACTATCTGTTCTTTTTTTTCATAGTGCCTTGCTTTTATATTCTTCTTCCTTCTTTTATGTTTTCCGTAACTTTTAACACACATTTTATAGACTGTCACTTCTATTAACTCAAGTTCTTAGAAGCCTAATCTTGCTGTTAATTATGTCTATTGTTTCTTGCTTACATGGACTGTTCAGAACTTATAGTTCTGAACCCTAAACTCACCAAAAGGATTCTGTTTGTAAGAAACCTTTGTGACTTGGATTGAGATTATATCCCTCCAAAGACTTCTGCCTTTGTTTCTACTTTTTTTTATGGTAATGTTTTGGTTTAAAAGATCTCAAACTATGCAGGCACTTTAAACCTTCGTTATAAATCCTCAAGGGAGATGGCTCAAACCCCCTGATAGCCTAGTGTTTAACAGTAAAAATTCCTTGATGTTTCCTGTATCAAGGGAAGATTTCTTTTCTACCAAATCCTTTTTGAGAGCATATCCCACTGAGGGTCCAGGACCAAGGATCTATACCATGAAAACATCAAATGATAAATTCTTAAAACATGCAAACTAAAACCTTCACCACTACCACCCAGAATACCTCAAGTGTCAGCTCTTGGTACTAAAGACATGTTTTTTAGTTCTATCTATTTTTTGGTCCCTTTACATTTCTTTCTCTCCTAGAAGAGCTGAGCTGCATAATTAAAAAATGTATGTAGAGCATGTCCTCAGTGTTTCCAGAAGTGAAGGGAGGGGTTTCAAGCTATCCAATTTCCTATACCTGATCAATGGTGGTTAAGTACTTCAGATTCCATATTATGGAAAGACATCTTTTACTAAGAAAAAAATTTTAAGTTTATGTTATTAACATTTTTAAACCTCACTCATATTCATGTTTCCTAAATGGAGATGAAATAAAAATTCTGACACATTTATACAAGTAGCATACATTACTAATTAAAGTAATAAATTAGATGTAGAATTTAAAACACACCAACTTTTTAAATATAATCTTCCAAAAACACAAATAGCCCAATAATTCAAAAATTCTGATACTGCTAAATCAGAGGTATAATACTCTATTAGAGATATGTAAATTGTATGATTTCAAGAACAAAATAATCCTAACTGTTCTTACTGAATTAAATTTCTATCACTTTCTTAAAACACAGGAAAGTTTCAAGCAATTTTAAACCACTCCTTAAGTGCAAATCAGTTTAAGTACACTATTTAAATATGTTATCATGTAATTTTCAGCCTTTAAAAGAAGCAAAAAAAAAAAAAAGGACAAAAACCAAAAACTCTTTAACAATAATACAGTAAGTAGTAACTGTATTAAGAAATTTACCACTTACCAAATAATGTCAGTTTCAGTATCCTGCTACACTGAATTGCAAAGGAAAGGTCAGAACTATCAAAAATTGTTATAAGATCTCCATCTGGAATTTAAAAAGAAATAAGCTTCAGATTTGCAAAAGTAGTAAAGATGGGCACAAGCAAAATTAAAAACTACAATGTAGATTGCAGAGTCCAGTTACAATCTCCCATAAAAACTTTAAATAAATATTTATGGATTGTTTTGGAAAGATGTGCTTGTTCAAAAAACACTAAATTAATTTTCCTTATTACGATTATAAGCATGTTAGCTAAAGTTAATGAATTTTGTGCATTAATTTTTACTAGTCACTAGATTTGTGGTAGCAATACCATAAATTACTGGCTTAGAATGTAATCTTCCAATTCTAAAACCTTTAAATATATTTATCAAATATGAAAGTAGTAAGGATTCCCAAGGTTCAAATCTTAATTGTAAATACAATAAGATGCAATGAAACAAATGGACGGGAAGTCATATGTCACAATAATTCATGGATACAAAAAAGAGGTTTTTGCAGAATTGCTTCAGTGAAAGAATATACTGGCGTATTTCAGATAGCTGATCATTTTGATGTTAAGATGAAAACTATCAGTTTTCCTTACAAAAATATTTATATACATAGAAAATAGTACATACTGAAAAGCCAGATCCTATGGATAAAGAATCCTACAATTAGCATATCAATTACCTGTTTCAAAGCTTACAACAGGCTAGGGAAAAAAACATTTTCCAGAGAAAGCAAGAACAGAAAAGCAGCTACATACAAGGAGTTCGTCAGAGGCCTTTGCAGGGTACCTTCACACAGTTGGATGAGGAGTTTTTTTCCTCCAGAGATGCTTTGTTGCACCCATTTAAAAACTGATTAGGAAGGTTCATTTAGAACAAAAATGGTGATAAAAGCCGTAACTGAGCACTTCATAAAAGTTTATAGCTCTTCATACGTAGACCCACTTCCTTATAACAGACATGTCCAATATTCAGTTCTCAGGAATTCCACTCATAACATATTTTAAAAAGCAGAGATGTAAAAGGGTACTCTCTATAATTTGTCTTTTTTCCTTTCCTGAATTCCACAATAGAAACAGAATATCTCTGACAGCAGGAACTTTACCTGAATCACTTCTCCACTCAAACCATGGGACAAAATGTGAACATGGAACCCAAAACATTTTTAAAGATACCATGGAAAAGAAATACAATGTAGTAACTAGATATAAAGAACAAATTTAAAAATGAGGCTACCCGAGATAGGAATCTATAAACTGCACCAATGGACTCATCCCTGTTTCTATAGCACTATGAACTTAGGATGGTTTTAAAATTTTTAAGAGGTTGTTTAAAAAGAAAAAGGTGATAATGAGACACAGGCCTTATGTGATCTACAAAGCTACAATATTTATTATCTGACCTTTATAGGAGAAGTTTACGGACCCTTGCCCTAAACAAAAATAAGGGAATTAAGAGAAAGCCAATCAGTGAGATCAGTTTAAGATATCCTAAGTTTGAAGAAAGAACGAAGTATCTCAGGTTACAAGAAGACTTAAAAATTTGAGATGTGAGATTAGAGATTTAGTTTAATGGTAATGGGTTCAGTCTCCAGCCCTAGGAGCAGGAAAAAAAAGGCACACATTTGAAAGTCACAGAGGTGAAAGCTTATAGATGGCTTATAGATAAGATTACTAGAGAAAAGAATGGGAAGAAAATCAATTTCCTTTATTGTTGCTTAACACAAAAATTAATTTTGGGTGCTCTTAGATCATCCCTCACAAAAAGAATTGTACCTGAGGTAGGAGAATTATACTGTTGGCTAGATGTCTACCTTAGCATAGCTGACCCACCAGCTGATTTACACTCCCTTTCCACAGGGTAAATTGTATGAAATAGCTGCCCAACCAGGCCCAATTTCCATTTGTATCTCAAACCCAAGTGACTGAATTCTGACCAATGTAATGTGGGCAGAAATGATAAATATCACATCAAAACCTAGCCTGTAAAATCTCTTCAAACTCTTTGTACATCTGCATGCTGGATATCAACACCCAAAGTAAGCATGTAAGCCATGTGTTAAGGTAACGGGACTTCTCTCAACTTGGGTCCTTGAATGATTTCTTGAGTGTTGAGCCACTGAGATCAAGATTTATTATAATATCTGGCATTACTTAAAGTCAATCCTCAGACACAGATGAAAAGGTATTCGTGGTAAAAAAGAAAACCAGGATAAGCAATGTCAGAAATATTAAGAGAGAAAAGTATTTAAAGAAAAAAAAAAAAAAGACAGTGTGGACAGCAGTGCCAAATGCTAAGCTAAAGATAAAATTGACTACAGGTAAGTTCAATAGTAAAAAAAAGATACTGATAACCACCTAAAAAAGCAAATTCCAGTAGAGATGGTAACAAAAAGTAGCTGGTTAAAGAATAGGAAATAAAGAGCTGGTAGAAAGGCTCAAGTGGCAGAGTGCCTGCCTAGCAACATGAAGCCCTGAGTTCAAGCGCCCCCTCCCCACAAAAAAAGGAAATTAAAAAAAATAGTCTACTACCCAACTACTGCAATTCTGCTGTGTAGACTAGTCATGCAAAATCTATCTCTGTAAAAATTGCATAGTCAAATTGCATACGATAGACAACATAATCAGCATACTGTACACTGGAAACAAATACACTTGTCTTTCTTTAAATCAGTTTTCCCCTATTTAGTTGACAGTTAAATCTGCTTTCATTCAATACATACTTTCACTTTGGGAGATACAAGTGGAAACTTTGTTTTAAAAGCAAAAAGGAAGCCAGAACTGTTTGGGCATAAAGAAAAAGAAATGCTTGTAAAAATGTACGTGAAAGTGTTCTGATACCTAAAACTCCCTTCTAATTAAAAAAAAAAAAATTACTTAGGTATTTTAATTTATAAAAGAACTGTACTAATGCACATTTCATTAAATAAATGTGGCCAATCATCTACCGTGACAGTTTGGGGGAGACATTCCAAGGAAAAATGGGCACAAGAACACATACAATAGACTTAAATATGAGCTTTAAAAATACTCTTACCTTCATCTTTATACTTTATCGTAACTTCATCATTACTCAGAAGTTTCCCTCTGAAAACTCGTTGCATCATTAGCACTAATTCATCATAAGTAATATCTTCATTATGAATGGGAATTCGCCGAATATCCTCCCCAAGCTGAGCTTTGATAATTAGCTTCCCACTTAGGTCCAACTGTCCATTCATGGTGGACTCCAGGATGTTCTAATACAGAACTCTAGGAAAAAACTGGTAAAAAATGGTTTTGATGATTAAACAACAAAACATGTTAAATGTTTTGCAAACAGAGCTACTTGAGCTACTATGAGAATGTTAATTATGGCCTACAATCCAACCAATTCAGTAGTTCACTGTTACCAACTGTTACCATCATCTGGTCTAAAATACTGGAAAAGACTTAACTGGTCTGCCTGCTTTTCACCTTTGCCCACTCAATCTATTCTCAACATATCAGACTTATCCTGTTAAATAAAATCTAGTGTTACTGTGCTCAAAATCTTCCAATGGATTCCCATTTCAAAGAGAAAAATCCATAAGGTCATGATCTGTGGCCCCTGACCAAGTATTTAACCTGGTTCCTTACTCATGTCCCTCATCCACCCTGTGACACCAATCCTTTAAGTTCACTCTCTCAACTCAAAGCTTTGCACTTGCCTTTGCCTTGAACTCTTACACAATTCAGATCCCTGATCAAATGTCATCTTCTCAGGGCTTCCCTATCTAATTTGAAATGACTTTGGTCACTATCTTCTTATACTGCTTTATTTTTCTTCGAAGTCCTTACCACTATTGGACATGAAAAACTTATTTTTCACTATCTTTTCCACCAGAAGGTAGGAAGTGTTTTGTTTGCTATATTCCCACAGCCTAGAAGAGTGTCTAGCACGTGATCATCATTTAAATAAAAGACTTTGAAACTGTTAGCTTATAACTTTAACGCTAACCCTGAAGAGAAAAAAATGTACAAACATGAAAACAGAGCCTCATATTTTACTCTCTAAATAAGAAAGATCTCATAAGTATTTTCTCTAATTTCCTATTTTGGGAACTTGAGGTGAAAGGACAAGTAAGTGATACTCTATTAAGAATTCTATTAAAGACTATCCACTACATTAACTCCATTATCTTCCCAACACAACCCATCCCTAACCAGAGTGGGTGTTTACAATTAGACTACATACATCAAGAAAGAAGACGACAGTATCAGAGAAATAGTCCAATTACTGCTTTGCTCTAGAATTTTCCCTTCTTGGGTTTTATTTTCATCATATTTCCAGCTATTCAGTATAATCTAAAATTGAAAATATTATGGAAAAGTCTTAGTAATTAAATTACTGTATAATAATACAGCATATACTTAAGAACAAATAATGGGTTAGTATCTCTTTTAAAGGCCAAGTAGTTCCTGAATATATTAATCTGTGATCACTGAGCATTTCCTTACCATCAACTCCTCCTGCCCCAAGCAAATGATCTCTCAGGGCTATTTAAAAGTTGTTCTACAGCTTTCTACTGGACACATTTTGGCTTCAACATTGTACTTTTACTACAGGCAGCTTTCTGTTTCCTCTGCTTAAATTTGTTACTTAATCAGTATGATCACACTCCCTGCTATTACTCTGTATGTTTTGTGGATGTATAAAAGCACTCACCTGCCCCATCCCCAAAGACATCAAATACTGGAAAAGTTTTTATGAACCCTAATTTCTTTCATGAATATTACATACAAATCTTCTAATATTCCTATATAAGTTATCCTGGTCCTTTCATCTAACTATCCCTAGACCACCTTCACCACTCTCTGGCCAGACTACATTAATAAACCTTTAAAGAAATAGAAACTAAACCCAACACTAAAAGGTCATGGCAGAACAAGCAGATTGTGTTCCACAATCTGGGTGTTATGCTTGTCTTAATACAAAAAGAACTATAATTAGCTTTTTACATGCCAACTTCACAGTGGACTTTTCATGAATACCGTGGTGAACTGAAATCTCCACCTGTTAACCATGTTTGTCCTCTGCATTCAGGAAACATTTACTGAATACCTACTATTTCCCAAGCTCTAACATATTAGCACTTCAACAAGATGGTAAATATTGGCATCCTGAGAGTAATAAAGATCTTCCAATAAATCAGTTTATTTGCTGCCTTCTCCTACTACAGAATGTGTAAAGCAGCAATAATGCAGATAGGGTCCAGTGACTACCTTCAATAAGATGGTAGTATCTATTCCCAGTAGCACCTAGAATAGTGTTTGACATATGGAAGGTATTTAAAGAGGTGTTTTTGTTTCCTGCACAAAAGATCAATGAGGAACAAAAAAGTTTCAACAAAGGGACTTGGAGAAGAAAGCTGTACTGGTAGGTCAGTTCTTAAGTAACTTTCCCACTCACTGTACCTTCTTCATGTTGCTGAAAGCGACTTAAGGATATAACCCCTAATTAAGAAATGGGATATAACTCGTAATTAAGAAAAAGTTTCAACATCAAATAAACTTGACAGTATGTCCTTTCAAGGGTGGCAGAGGGTGCTCAGTTCCAACGGACCTAACAACTTAAGTCATATCCTTTTGTACCTGCCATGTTTGCCTGCACACTCATTTTTGGTGTTTCCTTCTGTGGTCTTTCCTAAGGCTATTCCCAGCTTGTGCAGTCATCTCATGGTAAATACACAAGTATCACGAAAATGTACAACAAAATTTTCACTCCAAGGGAAAAATTCCATCCACACATGTTGATTCTAGTCCTCTACTTCTCTAACAAGGTAAAAATCAGTATGAACTAGTTCCTAGAACTTGCCCCAGCCCCTCCGAAGTCCAGAAGTGACTCAGCCACTAACTTGCCCTCCTCCAGGAACCTTTTTTGAGAACTAGCAATGAACTGACATGCCCAAGGAAAACTGAAGCCTGGCTCCTGCAGGTTCAGTGGCCGAAACTCTTGGCTCCACTGACCCTGAGGGTAAGGCCATAATCAAATTCAGAGGCTGCTGCTTAGGTACCTCTTGGAGGAAGCAGTTTCCTTCAAGAAATCCAAAGCAAATAAAACCGTGAAGGTTCAAAAGAATGTAAGAGGTCTCAAAATCTGCCTGACCAGAGGCACTGCATTGAGATAGTAAAGATATGCACTACTGAGCTATGTGACGTTAAATCCTTCTCCAAGGCTGGCTCTCATCATATGCAAAATTGGAATAATAATCAATTTGGATGGATCCTTGTGATGACTAGATGAAATCGTGCATCTACAATACTTGAGTGTCCACAGAAGCAAATTGTCAAAAAGTTAGCAATCATCACTACCATATTGGGTTGGACCGTCAGAAGGCGCCTGGTTAAGCACTGACCTAGCCAAGAAACAAAGTTCCTCTTCTGTGACCCCAATCGACTTATTCCCACTGGCACCACCCTCCACCCTTCTCACAAGTCCCTGTAGGATACAGGCACGAATCAATCCAGGCCTCCCCATGCTCCTCTTCTCTTTCCAGCAATTTATCTCTCGGGAGCCAGACACAACCCGCACTAGTGCGCTTGCAGGTCCAAATAGGGTCGAGGACCCACCTCCCTGTCTCTCCCCTCCCCCACACGCGGCCCCGTCCGGCCTCCTCCCTCACCCCTCCCAACCTCGGCCCTGCGCTGGCGGGTTCCAGAGCGACCCTCCCAGCGCCCCCAGCTCCCTGGCCTTCTCAGAGTGCGGCTGCGCCCCGAGCGGGCGTTAGCTGCCGTACCAGCTTGCCGAGGCCGCCGCCTCTGCGCGGGTCTCCGCTGACCCGGCCGATGCGAGGCCACCGCCGGGCTCTGGGGCGTCGCTGGGAGGCTGTGGTCACCGCCCGCTCGGTTGCCCTCCGCGGCCGCCACTCCAAGCTCGAAAGCTCGTGCAGGCCCCGGCCAATCGCACAGACTCAACAAGCCCAGCGAGAGCTCGGGCCCAGTACGTGGCAGGTGGAGGAAGAAGAGGGGCGGGAGCAAGGAAGAAAAAAGTCTGTCCTTTTGCTCCGCCTCAGCGAGCGCGACTGAGGCAATACGCATGCGCGGGGGCGTGAGGCGCTGGTCTTGCGAGGACCCGGCAGGGTCGGGCAAGAATCAAGCTTCCTCACTGGATGGCCAGGAATAGGAAGTGCGAGTGGAACGATGCACGCATGCGTGGGGCGTGGCCAGGCACTTCCGGTTCTCCTGAAAGCGTGCATTTCCTGTCTCTCGCCCGTGGGCGGGGTGTAGTCGGCTGGTGTGGATTTTTTTTTTCTTGTTTTTCTTTGAGAGGCTGCTTTCACTGGGCATCTGGCCATGTTTGGATGGTTCTTTGTAGTTCAGTTCGTCACATCTTGACAAAACCTGTGTTTCCCGCCTTCTTTCTACAGATCCATCCATTCATTCATTCATTATTGGGTGCCAAGCAGTTTGCTAGTAGTGTGGTTGTCAGTTCCTGAGCAAGGCGTTTCCAACGCAGCGATCATGAGACAGCATTAACCTCCAGGTGTGTAAAAGGCAAAGGCCGGGAAATTAAGCTGAGGATTTCAGAAGACTTGGATGAAAGAGCATTTGACCATACCCTCCATAACCCTTCAGTCCTTTTTTAGCTGAGAGCATTTGTTTCAGATGCGCTTACTTATGTAAGAAGTGCTCAGACAGAATGAACCGTAAATTTTGAAGAAGCGGTGAAATGGATGGGGTGGTGTTTAAAAAGATGTAAGTGGCCTTTGCCTTAAAGACAGTAAATAATCAAATAGGTAAAGCTTTTTAAACCACCTGTCCCCAGTCAACCACCTGGTGCCCCTAAAGGAATAGGGCTAATGTAAATTTAGGTGTCGGAGATGAGAAATTATGTTCTTTTAGAGCTGCAAATGTGATTTTTTTTTTTTTTGCGGCTCTTAAGTCCGAAAATTCTATTTGAGCGTGAATGTGTGAGTTTAGGATGCTTTTTGCTTTGATTTTGTTTTTCACAGTTGTGTTTATCGTGAGGGTTGGGAAGTAGACGACTACAGACAGAATGAAAGGGTTTTTGTTTTCTCTAGATCATGTTTTCATTGCTTGTTATTTAAAACTGAATAATACGGCTTCTGGGAAATTCACTGCTGTCTGATAAAAGTATTTTTGCTGCCTTTGAGATGGTTTGGAATTGAGTAAAAACCACACTCCTATAGACAGAGGTAAAGTAAACTCGAAGGAAGTGAATTATACCACTAAAATTAAGTCATACCCTGGAACAAAAGATATGGAGATGAACCAGAATCTGGAAGGAGAGTAAGGAAATTTCCTTTCCCTCAGAAAGGATCGGTTACTTAGAAGTCTTGTAGCTGAGGAGAAATAAGCAGGCCCCTGTTATAATCTGGCAGGCTGCAAGGTAGAAAGAAAGGCACACAGAAGGGCTGGGGTTTGTAGACTGTAAATGCAACTTGAGGTCTATGTTTTAATTCCCTCATATGTCATCCCCAGGATCAATAAAGTCTGGTTTAATGTTAAAAACCTACCACTGTGCAAACTGAGAAAAGGGGTTGTGGTGATTCCTTAAGGTCAAAGGAGAAAGGGGGAGAGTAAAGCAATGTTGGGAGCCAGATAAGAAGCTCAAGTGGCATGGGACAGGAAGGGTATCTATTCAACATTAAAGCATTACTCCAGAATTCCCCAGAATATATATATATATAGTTTTCTGTTATCCAGCTGGATGCAACATTGTGGTTGAGTCATTTGCGTTGTCTTTAAATGTCAAGTGAGATCATTTATAGGGAAGCACGTAAGATTATATGTGTTTGTTATAGTACCTCCATTAGGTTGTAGACACTATCCTAACCGTTTTTGCGCCTCAGTTTAATCCTAATTTGTCCTTGAAAATGTCTGACTTTTCCTGCTGCTGACTACATAAATTAAATTAAAATGATTTTCAGAGCATAACAAACAACTGGAACTCATCACCCAACCCAAAGATAGTAACAGTATCAATAAGTCATGTTTCCCTATGGGCTCCTCCCCCACATGGTCCCAGTGTCCTCTTTGAATTTTGTGTTTAGAATTCACTTGTGTTTTTTTATCTCCCTTATAGTTTAATTATATTTGTGTGTTGTTCAGTTTTACTTCTTTATAGATAAAATATAGAGTATCATTTATACATAGTGTGTAGTTTTCTGGAACAACATTTATATTCAGTATATTACTAAGATATATACATGTTACATGTAGCTGCAGTTCATTTATTTTCATTCTTGAGTAATATTCCTTTGAGTGAGTACACTATAACTTTTTTAATCCATTCCCCTATCAAAGTATATTTAGGTTATTTCTAGTTTGTAGCTGTGTGCTGCTGTGAACATTCTTATATGTCTCCTGTACAAGAGCTTCTCTTGGTTTTATACTAATGTGTAGATTATTGAATAGTAAATTATGTATACAGTTAACTTATAAAATAATGTCAGCCTTAGCATTGTTTAGACTTACACGGGATGGGAATGAATGGTATCTTTTGTAGTCCTAGTGAAGACCATAAAAACTGCAGTAAAACCTAGACTTTGTGTAGTAAATATTTAACAAGAAGACATTTAGTTCCTTGTGGAATCTCATATGATTGTTCAGTAATTCTGTATCTTTACTTATCTTTCTATCTTTGAGTATCTTGCCTACCCCCACCTGATATGAGGTCAGTGATTATATCTTCTCTGTCCCTCCCAGCCGCCGGCATTAGTTGCCATGTGTGAATAGTAGACATTCAGTGAATGTCTGTTGAGTGAATGAAATAGTTACTATATCTGTAATGCACCCACAGTTGCTGATACAGATGTCTCTACTTCATCTGCAATAAATACAGGAGATAACTGGCCACAGTGTGATAAGCTGAATTGAACCAGTTACAACCCTTACCAAGAACGTAATTTCCTCCCACTATATTTATAGACACTGATTTTAGTTACTGCTACTTTTTATTAGTGAGGCCAGAAAGGCTAACATACGGTTATCATTAAGCTCTTATGGTCACATATATTGTAGATAAGCATCAAACATGTCACTAACAATATTGCTCTAGGACTTCTGTAAGTAATTCCACCTTCAACATGCTACTAATAAGAAAGCATCTTGCCCTCTTTGTTAAATAAGACTTAGAAAGGTTCTGAGGTTTTAGGAAAGTAAATTGAACTTTAGATTCACCTTGCCTCTGTTCTGTGTCCAGGTGAATTTGGCTCTAAATGAACATTGAGAATAAGCTTGAATCATAAAGTATCACTTCATGGTAACATATGAAAATTGGGGAATATGTGGAGAAAGAAGAAGCGGCATAAGGATATAAACTTTGACCCAGCTGAAGCAAGAGAAGATAGCAGGCTCTGTAATTCAAAGTTTACTTTTCATTTTTCACTGACATCTGAAGAAGGCTTAAGAATTAAACTATAGTTTCAAGGCAGGGAGTCAAATTACTTACCTACCACCTGCTCTTTTTCTCTGAAAGTCTGTGTGGCTAGAATTCCACAAATGGAAAAGGGATGATATGTTTAGAATGAAAACAAGAGTTTCTCAGTCTGGATGGGAAGTGTGATATAAATCAGATGAAACCTGTGTTTCATCATACTCTCCTTTAGTAGTATAAAACATCTTTAAATTTTCAGTTATCTCATTACCCTCAGGGGAACCAAAGGAAGGATATAGGTTATTCCTTGGGTAGGAATTTCAAAAGACAATCATCACTATTTGAGTAGCAGTCAGATAAATAAGGGGAATTATGAAGACCGAATAGAGACCAGTTGGTCAGCTGGACCTCCCCTCCATTGGCTAAACATAAAGATCTGCTTATGTAAACAGGAAGCTACCACCCCATGGTGGTAATGGAGAAAAGGAAAGAAGTAACATTTTCCTGTGTTCCTTTAAGTGAGTGATCCTTAGCATCAGTTAAGCAAAAATAGTTCAACTTATCCTGCCAGTTGCATATCCACTGAGACCTTAAAATGTTTTTGCCTTACTTTTGGGTTCCCATGTCCAGCCTCTCTTCAGAGAAATTGTTCCTGAAAATGGTATTCCTAGGTTTTATATCCCTAGAGGCTGGCATATCCTAGGTATTCAATACACATTTATTAAGTAAAAGAATGAAAACTAAGTTCCCTGTCATTTCATAAGGAGAGCTCCAAGAAAAGGGAACAGATAGGATTCTACCTATGATTAATTAAAAATAATCACTTTTCTTCATTTATGTCTCCTGGAGACAGTGTTGTTACCTTTATACTCAATTACCTGTCAGAGTTTAGGTTGAAGAGAAATGCTGTTATGGGATCATTCATAATCTCTCCTAAATTCATATGTTGAAGCCCTAACTCCCAGTACTTCAGAATGTAGCTACATTTGGAGACTTGGCTTTTCAGTAGGTGATTAAGTTACAATGAGACCATTAAGATAGCCCCTAATCCAGTATGACTCCTATGCTTATGAGTACAGGGGATTTGATACACAGAGAGACACCAGGATGGGTAAGATAAAAGAGAAACCATGTGAGAATACAGCAAGAAAGCAGTCATCTGCAAGCCAAGGAGAAAGCCCTCAGACAAACACCTTGATCTCTGACTTCCTGGCCCCCCAACAGAAAACAAAATTTCTGTTGTTTAGACTACTCAGTCTGTTGTGGTCTGTGACGGCAGCCTTAGATGGCTAAAACAGTTGCCACACTTTTTATTTGCTCAAGTGTAGTCGTGGTCATCTCTTTTAAGAAACCTATACTCTCAAAGGTTTCTTCGATTGCTAGACCCTTGAAATCATGCACTTCTGAGACAAAATCAAATTCTGGGTACTTGGAGGCACTCACATCTCTAGTATAGTATTTATGCTTTCAGTCACTCCATATTAATATATAACTAATCTGGGCATTCTCAAAAAGCCATTTCAGTGAAGAGAAGCTCACTCAAAATATGCAAAGAAAACCCACAGTGAAATGTTGTTTTCACAAATTTGCTTGATAAATTAGAAGTTTCATAACATTTTGTAAAAATAGTATGGCAAAAGAGTCATTCAACCTTCGTCGTGGGTGCATAACTTGATACAAAGTACTTAATGGGAATTATGAAAATATCCATCAACATGTAAAGTGCTCTATAATCCAACAATTAAACCTCTAATATATCAGAGGAAACCTTGCACATGGGAACACAT